CGGCTGTAGGCTGCCAAGTGGGCAGGGGTTCAGGTGGCTGGAAGCCAGGACTGTGCACGAGGGGCCGGGGCGGGGGTGGGGCAGTTACGACTTTGGAGCCCAACCGAAGCTTTGCCCAAGAAGTCAGCGGGGCCCTGGCTGGGCAGCTCAGTTGATTAGAGTGCCATCTCAACACCTTAAGGTTGTGGGTTCTATCCCCGGTCAAAGCACATGCAGAAAGCAGTGAATGCATAAATGAATGGAACAACAAATTGATGTCTCTCTCTCAAGTTAATAAAAAAAAAAAAAAAAAGGGAAGGCAGTGGGGACTCCACAGTGGAGCCCAGCGGCCCGGGCTGTCCCTGAGATGGCACGGAGCCAGTGAGTATCCTGGACACTGCTGCCCTTGTCCCTCCCCCCAGGGATGGGTCTCTGTGCACAGTCAGACAGACCGCATGAAGAGCTTTGCACAGAGAGCAAAGGGCGGCCAAGCGCGGCGATGTGTCAGCATGCCAGGGGTGGACTGAGGGCACCGTGTCCCCTTATAAACAGCGGACCCAGGACGCAGAGTGGGATCGGGTGGAAGGCTCTCGCCAGGGCTCTGCACAGGGGATGTCATTACCCACGACTCTGTGGGCCCGTCGACCTCACGAAGCCGGGAGATGCTTCCCTCCCAAAGGTCCAGGTGGCCGTGGGCCCTTGGAGCACCTCTGCCCTTCCCGAGGACCGCCAGTGCACGTTCCCGGAGTCGCCTCCAAGACTGGCCTCCAGGCTGGAACCACATCTTAGGACCCTCAAGGACACGATGGCGATAGCTTGAGTCACAATGCTCACTGACGTGTAGCCGTTAGCGTTGTGACTGCCAAAGCCATCCTAGCTCCTCGCTGACCTTCCAGAAACGTGCACGCAGATCCCCTCTGCCTTTAGCGAGTCTTGTCTGCTGCCGCCCATCCAAGTGCTTTTTGCTGTAGTTTGTTTCCTTTCTTCTGCCCCGTTTCCGTTTCTCGGGTTTAAGTGTTGCCACTTAACAGCATCGTTGCCGTCTTGACCTCGCTCTCCGATACGGCAGCCACCGGCCGCACGTGGCCGTGGGCACTTGAAATGCGGTCCTGGCCGTGGAGGACATGGCCGTGACCCCGGAGCTCCCAGCGGCTCACTCTCCCCAGCGCCTTGCCCGCCGCTGCTATTTCTTGCTCCTGGTATCTCCTCCCCACCCTTCCGCCCCTCATTCCCTGTCCTCACCTCTCTCATTGTCTCCCCTGGAGCTAGCAGGACTCCCAGAGCCACACGGCCCCAGGCCCAAAGTGGTCTGGAGGAAAAGATAAGACCGGTACATGTCTGTCTGCTCCTGGACAGTGCCACCACCCCAGCCCCTCTGTGACCCTGCTCTGCCCGGCCAGGGAGAGGCCATGCCCGGTCAGACGGCGCGTGCTGAGCTGGGGGGCAGGGCGCCCCTGTGGGACAGCCTGCCTCTCTGCACCCAGCAGACACCTGGGGGTGTGGCAGAGAAAGAAAGGACACGGAGAAGGCTTCGCTGCCCTCCGCGTGAGAGGGCTGGGGTTGGACTGGGGGACCTCTGGGAGGGAACCCTTTTCCCTTGTGTGTGTCGGGGTGCCAGGTGGGGCGGCGTGGTTGGGAGGGGCTTCTGGTTGGTGCCAGCCTCCAGGACCAGCCTCTGGGGACTTGAAGGGCAGTGACAGATTTGGCTTTTCAGTGCATTTCTGCCACTGGAGTAAGGCCACTAAGGGAGTGAGGACGGCGAGGCCCCCTTGGAGGCCACTCCAAGAGGTGGAGGTATGCCTGGCGCGGTCCCGGGCCTGAGCGCCGGGCCTGCCTTCGCTGCGGGGCGCTCTCAAGTCCGCCGTGAGCGTGTGCTGAGCGTGGAGAGTGCCGGAGCAGCCCCTGGGCCTGCGGGCGCCAGGACGCCTGCAGCGGGCCTGTCCCCACTCGGGCAGTGGGGCGCACGGCCGGAGCTGGGTGTGCCGTGGCGGGAGAGGCCCGAGGAACTCGCGTGGACTCGGACTTCCCTTTGGAAGGACCCTGTCCTGATGATGGTCACTGTGGTGTCACACCCAGCAGTCTCGGTGGGGCCAGGTTCTGCAAGTGACAGGGAAGCTGTGGTGGCCTTGAGGTTCAGGACCAGTGGAGCTGATCCACGGCCACTGGGCAGTGACTCCCTGTGGGCGGCCCTCCGTGAACCCAGGAGTTCCCAGCCAGCCCTAGAAGGCGCTTCCGTGCTGGGGGTGGAAAGGAGTCCTGAGGTCAGCTGGGGCTCCAGTGCTGTCCCCCGACACAGCCTGGCCCTGCAGGGCAGCAGTGACCAGTGACGCTGGCTGCCCATCGTCACACCTGGCAGGGTCCTGCCTCAACGACTGGGGAGCCGGCCTGGCCTGGCCGGTCCTGCCCTGCGGTGACCTGGACGTGGCAGGGGGCTGGGCTTCTGCCCACCTCAGCACCACGCACATTGCTATTTCCAATGTCTACTGTGTAAAACTCAAAAGTAAGCTTGTCAGCCACTCAGAAAAATCTAAATAAGAATCATACCTATCTGGCTCAGACAGGGCCCCAGGGGGTGGGGGGAGCTCTCAGCCTCGCAGGGGCCGCAGCAGGCAGCCGAGGTGGTGGGGCGAGAACAAACTCCCTGGGGCCCAAGAGCGCTCTGCCCTGAGGACCAGGTTTGGGGGTTTAGGTGAGCACAGGCCTCTCCCGCTTCAGCCATAAAAGGGAAGTGGAGTTTCCTGCCTTGGGTTAGAGGCTTTCCAATGCGCTCCCCCTCCCTCTGCTCTGCTTTGAACCTGGAGGGCAGTGATCTTCGTTAGGAGAGCGGAGGCAGCAGAAGAGCCAGACCCTCCACCCAGCCCGTGTCTGTTTCCTGGCTCCCAGTGGAAAACTCCACCCTGCCTCCCAGCCCCCCAGCCCCCAGGGGCTCACTTCCTGCCTTCAGGGCCCACCCTCCCCCCCCCCCCCCGCCCGTCATCACCCATCACCACGCACCTTCCAGGGCCAGGGAGGACAGGGAAGGGTCCCCCCGCCCTATCACAGTGCGGCCACTGACACAAAGGAGAGACACAGGCTGGCGTGAGCCCCCAGACTTGATCTTTAATTGGTGTTCTGTCCCTGCCTCCCCACCCCGAGCCTTGATGACATATATACAGGATGCAATATGGAGCCAGTTCTAGGCCCAGGCCGGTGCAGCCTCCAGTCACCCCCGGGCACTGCCAGGGTCTGGGCAGGAGGACGCGGGTGGCTGGGAGCCGCGTGGCCTGGTCACACGACGTCGTAGGTTCTCCATACCCCACCCCACCCCACCCCACGTGCGCACACACAGCCACGTCCGTGTGTGCAGGGGTGTTCACACTTGTGCAGAGGCGTGGATCCAAATGCTTGTGCCAGACGCGTCGCCACCTGTGCGCACGTGTGCACCCTCAGAGGGTGCCTTAAGGTATCACAGCGATAGTTCAAAACCCAGCCCTCGCCCTCCCGCCCCTGCCCCTGCCCCAGTTCGGGGTGCTGGTGGAGCAGGGCAGGCCAGAGGGGTACTCCACCCACCCCCTCGCTAGGGCAGTGCCAGCTGAAGCTCAGTCCTGAGGACCCCACTGTAACGTATCCAGTCACCCTAGAGGGTGTCAATGGGTCTCAGTCCCCAGTTTGCCCTGAGGGGGGGGGTGCAGATAAATGGGGAGCCTCCTCCTCCATGATTCCTCCTCCAAGTTGTCCCAGGAGCAGGGGGACTAACACAGGCCGCTCAGAAGGCCCTGGGGTATTCAGAAATCCCTGCTGAGTCTGGGTGGGGGTCCCCCGGAAGGGGGCTCCGTTTGTGGCTTTCATCCATAGGTAGCTACACCCCCATCATGCCCCTGCCAGCTGGTCTTCAGCGGTCAAGGAGCCAGAGCCCCCCTGTCCCGAGCAGGGATGGGGGAGGGGGGGGAGGCCGCGGGCAGGGCTGTTTGCCGGAGGACTGAGGAAGTGTGCCCGGCCTCCACCAGTCTCCCTCAGCCTCCGCTGCAGTGGGGACCCGCGGACATGAGGGGGAAACAACTGTAAACTTGCTACTCGGCCCTGGGGTGGGGGTAAGGGGCGGAGAGGGTTTGACGGGGCCTTGAGGACTTTTCTAGAAGCTGAAGACCACCCATGAGACCCGCCTTTTCCTACCTCCTCATGCACATCACAGGCAGAACTCCCGACCCTCCAGGCACTGGGCCACCTCAGGCCTCCGCTACGTGGGAAAGTCCTCACGGAAAAAGGTGGCCCAGCCTGGGGCCACTAGGCCGTGCCAGGGGGCACCTAAACCCTGAGTCGGTCCCAGAATCGCCCTTCTTGAAAGGGGGGAGGTGCCACTTTATTTAAGGGGCTGCATTTTCTAGACCCCCAAATGCATGCGTCCTGGCAGGGACGGCAGGATGGCCACTTTGAATTGAAGACAATCTGGGACGTGGGGTCGCCGCGCCCGTAATCCGGGCTCGGGCGTGGAGCAGGCAGCTTTGGTTTGGGTCGGCGCTCACGCTGCTCCCCGGCCTCAGCAGGGCTGGGAGGGCGCGGCCCCGCCCAGCTGGGGGCGTCAGTGTTCCCAGAGAAGCTTCCATCCAGGTGTAGTCCTCCCAGGGGAGGGCCACGCCTCAGTTCGTTCCTCCAGCCCCGCCCACAGATGGCCAAAACGTCCCACGACTGCCCGGGCCCAGCACCCCCAGAGTTACATTCATAGGTTAAGATTCAGTTTTTAAAAAAGTTTGATCTCAGCCCCCTCTCCCGAAGGCCCAGAGAGCCGGAACCCTGTCCCAGCTGCTGGTTTGGAGGAAGGGCCCCCCTAGGCCACGCCCCCGGGGGCACCCCTCCCCCCCTCCCCCCACCACTGTGATGATGGACGCTACATTCACACAGAAGAGAGTTGGTGTACAAGGCCAAAGCCGCGTGAGGTCGGGTGGGGGCCCGTGAGGGAAATGCCCCAGGCCTGGTCCACCCTGGTGGTATGAAGGGCAGGGCCGCAGCCCCCTAACCAAACCCCTGTGGGGCCGGGAGTGGGAAGGCTTGGGCCTGGAAGACAGTGCAACGGTGCCTCCCTCCACGGCTGGGCGGGGGCAGCTTCCCGGTGCCGGGCGGAGACGTGGGTGCCAGGCTTGGAGGGAGGGGTGTGGCACTTAGGCCCCTCCAGACCTGGAAGGGAGAGGGGACATCGGGGCAGCACAGGAGGCAGGGCCCAGAGGAAGACCCCTCCAAGCTGGGCCCCAGGCAAGTGCGGCGCCCTGGAGACAGCCAGTCACAGGCTGGCCAGGGAGGGGATCTGGTGCAAAGGCAGACAGCAGTGACGTGACAGACGAAACAAATGGGATGCAGAGGGAGGCTCCCTTCCCGGGGGTGGGGGCCGGGGGGCCGGGATAGGGCCAGGACTGATCTGGGTGAAGGAGGGACGTGGGAGGGATGGGAGCAAACAGACCACGCCTGAGCGGATGGGTGGGCCAGAGGCAGTGGCTGAGGACTTCCCTCCGGGAGTGGGTTCTCCCACCCCTGTGGTGACATCAGCACCGCGGGGCAGGGGAGCCAGCCCTTAGGTCCCATCCACAGAATGCGAGGTGACAAATGAGATGGAGACGGACAGTGGGAGGGATGAGGTGGCAGGCATCACACTGCCCCCTGCTGGGTCGGGTCATACCTTCCTCGCCTGATGTTTCTTCAGGAGCCAAGGAGAGGGTGGGCAGAGAGAGAACAAGAAACCATCTGTGACCTGCTCTCCGGGAGGGGCCGAGAGCTCCCGTGAGACCCCTTGCCCCAGAGACGGGCCAGGGGCCCTGGGTCCTGGACACCGATGCCAGGCCCAGGGACAGATACCTGGGACTCTGTAGCTAACTCACTGTGTGACCCCGGGCCTCGGGTCCCTCCTTAGCACACCGAGGGTTTTAGACCGGCTCCAGAGCCCGAGACTCAGGCACCCGGAGCACCACGGCTGGGTGGGGCTAGAGAGGGCGCACCCAGGGCGCCGCCCTGCTCACCCCCCTCAGTCTGGATCACAATGAGGCACCGCGGAGCCCCGCTGTCTCACTTTACAGACAAGACGCGGAAAATCAGCATTGTTAATGTAAAGTCTCTGGGTCTTTAAAGTGTAAGCAACTAATTTTTTTTAAATGTTAAAACAGGCCCTGGCTGGCATAGCTCAGTGGATTGAGCACGGGCTGCGAACCAAAGCATCAAAGGTTCGATTCCCAGTTCAAGGTACATGGCTGGGTTGCAGGCCATGACCCCCAGCAACCGCACATTGATGTTTCTCTTTCTCTCTCTCCCTCCCTTCTCCCTCTAAAAATAAATAAATAAAATCTTTAAAAAAAATGTTAAAACAAGGCCTGTGGCATGGCTGGCCTGGCCCGTGACCTGCGACCTCCGGTTTAGCTAACCTCTCAGAAAAGCCCCTCAGCTCTGATGGCCTGGGGTTCTGAGAAGCCCCAGGACACAGGTGGGGGGGAAGGGGCATGGCGTGAGTGTCTCTTACTTAAATCCCCAGCCCGTGCCGCCCAGGACGATGGCTGCAACCAGGACGGCTCCAGCGATGGAGCCGATGATGATGTTGGTGCCACTGGGACCTGGGGAGGAGGGCGGGGCTTGGTTGGCCGGGACAGGCAGGGCAAGGCAAGAAGACAGACCCCTCCCCGGGCAGCAGCGGCCTCACCCTTGTACTTCTCTGTCTCCCCGGTGGGCGGAGACGTGGGCAGGGGGTTGTGGATGGCGCAGTCTTTGCCCGTCCAGTCTGGCTGACAGATGCACTTCCCTTCGTTGCTGCAGACCTGGAGGTGGGGGGCCGCGGTCAAGGCAAGCAGGGCTCTGTCCCCTCTTGTAAGCCCCTCCCGCCATCCCCGGGGTTCCAGGCACCCACCCCGTGGTGGGAGCAGATGCGGCGCTCCCCGCTGCCCGGGCAGGTGCTGAAGTTGAAGGCGGAGGCCGGCAGGCAGCGATGGTCCAGGCACAGCATGTTGGGCCCACAGGCCGTGCCGTCCTCCACGTAGCTCAGGTCTGAGCCGTCGGCCAGCTGCACGTGGCCACCCCTGGGGAGACAGCATAGCCAGCCTCCGCCCATGCCCCCCACCCCGTCACAGTTGCCACCTCCCCTTCCCCCGCCATGGTCCCAGCCAACACCTGCAGTCCAGCTCCTTGCCCTGGTGGTAGAATGTGACACTGCTGATGTCCCCTCCCAGGTCCCCCAGCCGAGGAGCTCCAGAGATATTGACGCAGAGGAGGAAGCCACAGAGCACATCCCTGTTGGGGCAGAACAGAGACAGTGGGCCCTGAGTCTGACCTCTGACCCAACTAGTAAACTTGAATTTGCCTTCTCCTCACACTCTGATTTTTTTTTTACACATTCTCCCATTGAGACTCACAGGCACACCCTAGAAGAAATTACAGCTCCATCTCCGAAAAAAAAAAAAGAAAAAAGAAAAAAAAAACCCCAGGCCCCAGGGCTGGGGAGGCTCAACCAGCACTCACTGCTTATTGCACTGGATCCAGCCTGACCCCTTGCGCCCGCAGTTCCCACGCTCTGTCCCCTCCACATTCAGCTTCTCGTAGCAGAAGCGATCAGCAGCCGCTGCAGAAAGGTGATGTGAGGCGTCACCCCAGAACCCACCCCAGGACCTTAAGCCTGCACCTCCACCGTTCCGGCTGACCCCCAGGCCCTCTGGGTCCCTGAGAGGCTGGAGAGCCGCACATTTAGCCAGAACCTGCCCCCTCCCCAGATGGTGGATTCCGGGTCCTCCAGAGCCCCTTCTTCCACTCCCAGCCAGACTCACCGTGGCCCCAAAGGGCTTGGCACTGCCGGTCCCGGGTTTTGCAGCGACCCCCATAGCAGCGGCCCTAAGGGACAAAAGGGAGACAAAAGGGACCGGCACGTCAGTGGTCGCGGTGGAGACAACACACTGTACTGAGGCAGAAGAGGGAGGCGCCCCCAACACCGCCATACCTGCTCCTGATCACAGTAGTAGCCGTCCAGCTTATGCAGGTTCGGGGGGCACTGCAGAGAGAGGGGCGGGCTGAGCAGAGTGGCCCCAGGCCTGAGACGTGAGGCTGGCCCCAAGGAGGGAAGAAGGGGCGGCCTAACGCCCCCCAAGTGGGGGCTAGTGTTCAGGGCTCCTCCATGTCAGGAGCAAAGACCTGCCTTGGAACTCAGACCACGCAGGTCGACCAGGCCCAAAGCCTCTCTCTCCAGCCTCCCTGCACTGACTTCACAGGGCTGGGAAAATCAAATGCCTGGCACGTAAGAAGGACTTGAAAGATGTTAACTATTATCATCTTTTCCCATTCCTAGCACGCACCGGGACCATGCCAGGGGCTGGGAACACCGACGAGACTACAAACAAGGCTGAAGGAGCAGAGCCAGGAGGCACGACCAACCCCTTTCTCAGGTGAGGAAACGGGTTAATGAGCGGCGGCGGCGACGCCGGCAGCAGAGCGGAGGGGCGCTAAGAACAGTGGTCACCCGGCACAGCCAAAACGGTAGGGACGGGGGTTGCCCCGCCCGGGGTTCTGCAGAGCGGCCAGGCCGGACGGACCTGACTCGAGTCGCCGGTGCAGGTCTCCGCGATGTCGCACTCGTTCACGGCCTCTCGACAGGACACACCCCGCGGCTCGTACTGAGGAAGGGATGCGTTTCAGGGCTCAGCCAGGGACCTCGGACCCGGCGCTCTCCGGTCCCTTCGGCCGCGCCCCCAGGCTCGCTCACGGTTCCGCCCCGCCCACCGCTTCCCCGCAGGTGCCCCGCCCCGCTCCTCCTGGCCCCGCCTTCAATAGGCCCCGCAGGTCCCGCCCTTTCCTCCCCCATTGGCGCGTTCTTCGCGCCAAGCCCCGCCCCTTCAAATTTGCTAAGGCTCCAGCTGCGGCTCCTTTCTAAGCCCCGCTCTTGATCAGATGGTCAGCAGCTAGGTCCCTCCTGGTTCCGCCCCTCCCCCTCACCTTGCAACGGCGACAGCACAGCCCGTCGCTGCACATGGCGTCGTGAGTCAGGGTGCATTTCTTGCAGCAGTTCCCGCCCGCTCGGCTGCACTCCTGAGGGACGCGGCGAGACGGGGAGGGAGGCGGGGGAGCCCGGACCCTCCCACGTAGGCCCGCCCCCTCACCCACCCCCGCGTCCCGGGCCTCGCACCTGGCGCCGGTCGCTCACCTGCACAGAGCCGCAGTCGCACTCCTCCCCCGCCTCCACGAAGCCGTTTCCACACTCAGGGGGGTCCAGGAGCTGGACAGGGAAGGGATGTCGGGAGTCTGACCGGGTCGCGACCCAAGCCTCGTTCCCACGTTACCCGCCCTTGGGCTGGTACCTTGAGGGGCTTGTTGAAGAGGCAGCTCCCGCCGCCCTCCTGCAGAAACTGATTGTACTCGTCGATGCTGCAGCGCGAGAACTTGCGGGGCAGGTAGAACCTGGGCAGGGATAAGGAGGCGATGCCGCTGGGCCCCGGCCGCGCCCTTCCGGCCAGCCCACTTTCTAGGCCCCTTCTAAAGATTGAGGATAGGCCGCACTGGGGACTCGCCCACCCTCTGGGGGAGGCTGAGGATCTATATGTTCGGAGACTGCACAGCGATCCTCCCGCCTGAGTGGGCGGGGGAGGTCCCTCCTGTCCCTTTTCTGCAACCTCGGGACTCCAGGAGTGAGAGGTTGGAGTGACTAGGAGCGAAGGTGCCTCCAAGCGAGGCTTTGGCGGCGCCCAGCGGCGGCAATGTGCACTACAGTCTGCTCAGTTTTGATGCTGAGCGGAGGAATCTGGGTCTCCCTGCGCAGTGTACTGCAGAAAACTGGGTTTCTTGGAATCCTGAGTGGTTCCAACAGCTGGACCTCTCGAGGCCACCAGGTCCAGTCTGTCACCAGTACTCACTCTGGGACTCTCCTCGCACAAGGCTTTCCTCTGGTTTGTCTGCCCAAACTCACCCCGTGTCCTCCATGATGCAGCCCAGCCAGCTGTCCGGACACTTGCAGTCCCCTGAGAGGTGAGCCAGGTGTACGTAAGAGAGGGTGGGCGACTGCCCCCCCCCCGCCCCCGCCACGGACACCCTCTTCACTCCTGGAGCTGCTGGGTGTGGGTCTAGGCTGGTTGCGGGGCCACGTGGGATCGCCGCGGATACCTGCTGAGCTCCGGTGTTTGTTCCACATCATGCCCAGGTTCTGCCCCAGCGTCTGGGCCAGCGTCACCGCCATGGCGCCCATGTTGTCGTACTTGGGGTGAGGAAGATGGAGCGCAAGGATGTCTGCATCCCTCCAAAAGGCACAGGGCTCATGCCCTGAGGAGCCCCTCTCCCTCCCCCACCCCAACCCCGCTCTAGCGGTGTCCCCACACTGCTCACCTCATTCACGCCCCCGCCCCTGGACAGAGAGCAGATGCCTCCCACGTAGGCAGCCCCGCTGCTGGTGCTCTGGAAAGTCCTGCCCCTGGACGGGAGAGGGCTGTCAGGAAAACCTCCTGTCCTACCCGTGGTGGCTCCCCTCCCCAGGGAGACGAGGAGCCTCCCCTACCGGAGTCCTTCCTTGGGGAGGTGAGTAGGAAGGAGCCCCCACTTCACGTCAGCCTGTGTGATCTCAGGCAAGCCCCTTCCCCTCTTTGGGTCTGTTTGCCCGCAAACCACATAAGAGGTTCCTACTAGATCATCTCTAATTGCAGGGACCTACTGTTGGACTTTTTGTCCCGCCGGGAAGGGGTGCTGGGACAGTCGGAAAAGGGAAGAGGGAGCGAAGGGGAGGTGATGGGCAGAGCTGAAGGCACAGGGGACCGGAGGTGGGGAAAAGGGGCACTGGCCTAAGACACAGGGGAGGATGGCCAGCCTGTCGCAAGTGGCTGGGGCAGGTGCAAGACGAGCCCCACCAGCCCCGAACCCTGCGAGGGCACCTGGCACAGAGCAGGTGCTCCGGAACCCTGAGCACTGCGGCCACCAGCACAGGCTGGCGGGACGCGTGGGGTGGGGGACTCACGAGAAGAGGTGGGTGGCATCGCTGGGCTCAGGCAGGCCCTCCCGCCTATAGACCATGAGCCGGGCCAGGGTCTCCAGGAGGTCATCCTGCACCTGGATCTTGTCCCCATCTGCCCACGTTTCCATGGCAACCAGCACTATCCGGGTATTGAGCTGCTCCTTGTACATCTGGGCCCAGACGGGAGAAGGTGGGGAGAAAGCTGGAGGGTGGGAGTGGGTGTGGGGGGATAGGGCAGGAGACGGGCTCTGGTCTGTGCCTCCAGGAAGTGGGGGGAGTCCCCCCAAGGATGTGCGCAGCCGGGCGGGGAGTGTGGGGCGACAGGGAACAGGAGGGGGAGGCTTGCTCACCACATCTGCCAGGTTCACCACAGACTTGGCGAAGTTGCTGGTGAGGACCACCGACTGCCGCATCTGCTCAAACTGCAGGAAGAGTGGGTGGGGGCGGGGCTGCTTCCGGCCCTGCCTCCCGGAGTCGCCCCAGCCTGGGCACTTACCAGCTGGTGGTCGTTGATCACGATCAGCTCCACATACTTGGTCTCACTGTGCACCGTGGGGTGGCCCCGGCGGACCTGGCAGGGGGTGGGCACCTGGAATCAGTCCCCTCCGTGCCTGGCGTCATGGCCAAGCCATGCACAGACTTAGGGGGCTGGACTCCAGCCAGGGAGAGTGCCAGACCCCACTGGTGGGGATACCCCTCCCCATCCTGGGTATAATAAGGGCAGGCAGCCCCTGTTAGACCCCCCACGGGGACGTGTGTGGACACTGGCATTAGAGAGCGGGGTGGGGGGCTTCCTCCCAGAGATGGTTCCCCGGTCCCCAGCCAGATCAGCCTGAGCTCTCCTTTGCCCCAGCCAGGGGCAGGGGTGTCCTCCTGCTCTGGACCACGGCCTGAGGTCCCTGCAGCCCGAGGTCTGTGCGGGCCCCGTACCTGCCTTTTCCTTCTCAGCCTCGGCCGGTTCGGAGGAGCAGAGCGGGCAGGGGCAGCGAACAGGCAGTCTGGAGGAAGGGACAGGTGAGGGGAGGCACAGCCAGGCCCCTCCCCAGCCCCGCTCTTCCCCCGTTACCTGGCTCCCTGCATCTGGCGGGGGCTGGGAGCAGAGAGGTCCGGTAAACGAGGTGGGGGAGGGGTCCCTGCAACCAGGAGGAAAACATAGTTCTTGCAAGGCTGACAGGTCTGCGCCGAGCCCAGCTGGGGGGTGGGGGGGGGTGGGGGTGGGAGGAGACCGCCCCGGCCCGTCCCCAACCCCACCTCCGAGTGACCCAGAACTGGCCAGAGCTCCCGTGTCGGATCCGATCTCCCAGATGCTCAGATTCCAGGGTCAAGACCTGGGGGCACCCAGGGGGACAGGGGCCAAGGACACTGGAGCCCAGGGGGAGGTCACCTGGGGGACACAGGAGCTGGGGGGCACCGGGGGAGGGAACCAGAGCTGGGGTCACTGAGGGCAGTGAGGCTGAGGTTACCAAGGCAGGAGGAGGGGGTGGGGACAGCCATCGGGAGGAATGTGATGGCGCTGTCAGGGGGAACAGTGGAGGCTCACCTGGGGGGCTTCCCGAGGCTCAGCCATCTCCCTGGGCTCCACGATGTAGGTGAAGTCCCCATCGGAGAAGACCCCGCTGCGGAGAGAGAGGCGCGGCTCCCCACGGTCCCCAGGCCCCAGGGTCCGAGGCTTTTTCAGGCTGCCCCGCCCTCCCCGTACTCACTGCAGCCCCTGGCAGGTGGAGAGAGCGGCAAAGGAGCGGGGGTTCCCTCGGAGCTTCCCCTGGTAGTAGCAGTGGTCTCCAGCCCCCTGGAGGAGCGGGATGTAAGTGGGCGTGCCCCCTGCGCTGGCACGGAGGCGGGAAGACGGATGCGGGCCGCTGGAGGTGCCCCCTGAGTGCGGGGGCTGCGGTCCTGGGCGCGCGCGGGTCTCTACAGCCCGGCTCTACGCGGGGGCGTGCCCCCAACCCGCTGTCTCACCCCGGGCCATCTCCTGGCCCTCTGCGGGCCTCCTTCCCCTCACCTCCGAAGGGAGGAAGTTGGACTCCACCAGCGGTTCTTAGCCATTTGTTGGGGCTGATGCAGGGGCCCCAGACTCCTTTGAGAAGAGTAACTAGCATTCATGTAGTACCTACTATGTGTCGTGCACTGTTCCAAGCACTTCACCACGGATGATCTCACTTAATTAGATGAATGCTATGGACTCACCCCAAACACGCACACACAACGTCACAGGCAGTGTGTTCACAGACACCGCTGCCTCCTCGGACCGCCCCAGGACACGTGCTGTGTGTTCTCCTGGCCCCCGCTCCTGGGTTGGAGGGGACCGGCAGCCCCTCCCCCTGCTTTCTGCAGAATTACTTGTGCTCCAGTTACTGAACAGCCTGGGGGAGGGGCGAGGCTATTTATAGACACTCATTCATCCTTGCTGGGCCGCTGGGCCTCTAGGGCAGGGACCCTGCTATCCTAGGCGGCCAGGAATGCCCAGGGTCTTCGTGCTGAGTAAGAGGGTGTTTCCCCGACTGCCCCCTCCCGGAATGTCTGGGCCCGGGAGCGGTCACGGTGCTTGGCTGCCTCTGTGCCCAGCCGGGAGCTGGCTGGGGTCAGGGCCCTGGAGATGGACAAGGGAGCTCAGGGCACCGCACACCCTCTGACATGCCGCTCCAACTCCGACCCCCAAAACCTCCGAGGTGGGGAGTCAGGGAGGGTCCTGCAGGGCAGGCCCACCCCAAGTGTAAGGGACACCCCAGGCCCCACCTCCCATGGCCTGCTGCCCCTTCACCCCACCTCCCTGGCCCCTCCCAGAGGCACTCACGGTGCTATGCTGCGTGGTCCCCTCCCGGCTGAAATGGCGCTCCACGTACTTCGAGGACAGGAGGTGACTGAAACAGAGTGGGCAGCAGAAGGACAGGCCAGTCGTGGGACTGGGTCACGCTTGGGTCCCCTGGGCCGAGAGGCCGATCCTCTGCCCCGCCCCCCGCAGTCTGCCCCTCCAGCAGCCCAGCCTAGGCCCTGTCTCGCCCACCGCCAGCAGCCCTTCCCTCCGGGCTCAAGGCCACACTCACTGGTTCAGCTCCAGGTCCAGAGTGAAGTTGGAGTTGAAGGCTGGGATGACGAAACTCACCTGGGCCAGGTGGACGGGCTGGGGGTGGGGAGAGGGCAGAAGGAGGGTCAGTCAACCTGGGGAAGCCTGAAGGTGGGACCCGGGGAACCCCAGAACAGAGTAGCACAGGGACGGGAGGGAGGGCACAGTCCAGCAGCCATGAGGACCATGGATTAGCTCGGAAGATGCGTCATGTGACACCCTGTTCCTTTCCTGGGAGTAGGGGCAGGAGTGCGCCCACCGGGGCACAGCCCGCCCTGCCCTCTGGGTGCAGGCACGGTGAGCAGCTCAGGGGCAGATGCCAGCCCACCCCCTCTGGGGCGGCCTCCGGGAGCCTCCGGGATGGAGGGGGGCAGCTTGGCCTGCCGACTGCTCAGGCCAGGCCCTCCCGCTGCGGGCAGGGCCAGCGCACCCTCGGGTGGACTGCAGGGAGGCCCTCGGAAGCATCACGGGAAAAGGGGTAGACAGGGGCTGGGTGCAGCGTGACCCTGGGAACTGCTGAAGCAGGGGCCTTCCTCCCTGTCTCACCCCCCCCCTTTCCTTGGAGGCCCCTCAGACTTGGCAGACAGGGGTGGGGTGGGCTGGAGTTGACGGGGGGGGGGGGGCTGCCCTGGGAGCCGGGGTGATGGGCAGATGCCAACTGGTCAGGATGAAAGAACTTGGCTCCTCTATCCCCAAGTCCATTGCCCTCTGCCTCGCCCAAAGTAGCTCATCTTTAATATTTCAATCCCGTGGTTAATTTTTAAACACGGAAGTTTTCCTGATAAATTTTTCAGAGGGGGCCTTTGCAGTGGGGCTGGGAGGCTCCGAGTTGTCATGACAACGCACTGGGCTGAGCAAGATGGCCGCCCCGGACGGCCTGGGCACCCAGCTGCTGTGCGGGGTGGTAGGGACTCCGGACCTGAAGCTATTGCGCCTCTGGGGAAAGCCACCCAAGAGAAGAAGGGGCAGGAGAGTTCGGGTCGAGCGGGGTGTTGTCCTTCTCGGCAACCACATCCCTCCACTCCAAGCCTCCGCTCCTGCAAAAGGTCGGCAACAGCCTGGCAGGCGCCGGAGTGTCCTTCGCTCCGTTTGAGAAGACGGAACCCAGGCCCCTCCATGAGGGTCCCGCCGCTGGGCCGTACGGATGCGAGAATCTGTGCCCTTCCTTTGGGGGGAGCAGGTGGCAGAGTGGAAGGGAGGCCCGAGGTCACGGGATCCCATAGCCCCGTGCTCGCCGCCGTCCTCAGCGCCACCTGGGTTTCCCCCGAGCGCTTGTATGGGCCGGCACTGCTCTCACGCTTCACAGGTTCATCACATTTGACCTTCACAACAACCCAGTGGGGTGGGTGCTGCTGTGATCCTTGTAGACAGATGGGAAACTGAGGCACAGAGCTACAAACCTGCCCAAGGCCACGTAGCTAAAAAGTGGAAGAGCTGGGATTCAAGCCTAGCAGACCAGCTTCCGGGGCCTTCCTCCCCCAAAGGTGAGGGAAGACGGAAATGGCCAGGTGTCCCTACGAGGCCCCAGGAGAGGGGCAAAGGGCCGGAGCCTGGGTCAGCAGCCCTCCGCGCCTCGACAACACTGACTTGCCCCCTCCCCGCTGCCGGGCGGATGGAGGTTCCGAGCTCCGTGCTCAGCCCCTAAAAAACACGGATCAGGCTTGCAACAGAAAGTCAGGGCCAAGTCACTGCTTCCCCCTCCTCCCCACTGGCCCGGACCATCCCGCTCCCCTCCACTCCCGGGTTTGAGCTCTCTGCCCGCCCACCTCTGCACTCCCCTGCCCTCAGGTCGGATCCTGCTTGTTCCTCCCGCCCCCACGCTGGCCACCCGGAGGAGCCGCCTGTCCAGGCTCCTTGCCCTGGTTTCCCTCCCAGGCCGGGCAGCCGCAGGCAGGGATGGCCCAGCAACCTCGCTGCGCCGCAGACTGTCCCGGGGAAAACGACAAGCTGAGCCCAGGTGCAAGGCGGTGAGGCTGGCGTGTGTGGCGGGGGTCGTCCGGGGCCTGGAGAGTTCCGGCCCGGCTGGCCCTGGCACTGGCAGAGTCTTCTCCACTCGGAAGGGAGTGAGCTCACCCATCCGGCCTCTCCCCTCTGAGGGAGGCCCAAACGGATGGGGGGCGAACACCAGGTCCTCTCCGGCCTCATTGCTGCCTGCCCCTACCAGCGGTGGTAGGAGGAAGAGGAAGGAGACCAAATCGCTGGGCGGGTTTGCCCGGCCCGGCCCAAGTAGGAGGCCGTGGGGGGGGCGGGAATACAGGGGAGTGTCCCCTGTCTGAAGGATGGGAGAGACCAGGCAGGCCCGCCTCAGTCCCCAGGATCTCTATGCGCCACTCCCGGTACCTGGGCAGGGGCCTCCTGGGGGCGCCAGGGTCCTGAGACTCCCCGGCCCAGCTCCAGGCCCAGGTTTCAGCAAAGCCAAACTGCTCCTGCCCCTGACCTGCCCCTGACTTCTCCCATTACCTCTCAGCCCTTCCCTCGGGAGCCCCTCCTGTCCCCTGTCACCCGCCCTCCTCCGCACCACCCGGCTCAGCGCAGCTGGAGACTGGCCGGCTGGGCCCCGACCCCGTGCCCTGCTCTTGTTCCTCGCTCTCTTGTCCCCGGGCCACCCGGCCTTCACGTGCCCCCGGCTCATTTGATCTCGCCCTGCCCGGGACGTCTGGCGCTCATTTTACCAGTGCCAGGCGGAGGCGCAGGGACAGACACTTGGAGGTGACCGGCCCAGGGCCACGCTGGGGAGGGGCAGCGCCACGCCTCCCTCGTGGGCTGCAGTCGGTGTCTCCCACGGCCGCTGCGGCCACCTGGCTGGAGGGACCACGGCCTCCCTGAGGTGTCCCCGTGTCCGACCTGGCCACATACAGGGTGCAGAGGACGGAGGCAGAGGTCCCGCTGAAGTTCCAAGGGAACAAACACAGAGGCCGGGCCCCACCCCAGACCGACAGAACCAGCCCTGGGGAGAGGGAGACAAAGGTGCTGAGGGTCCCCAGTGCCCTAGACAACCCGAACACCCAGGCGCCGTCCCCAGAGAGTCACCCTGAACCCCTCCTCCGGACCTCCACCTCCTGCCAGGGCCTCCGCCTCCCCACCCTCTTCCATAAAGCCTGCCCCCGCCAACCCTCAGGGGCTGCAGGACCCCCCACGCCCGGCCACCAGCCCGCTCTCCACACCCTGATTCCGCTTCTCCCGCGAGCAGCCACGGGCGTGTCTCCCGGAACCCGGCTACACTGGCCTTTTCGCTGCCAGGGCCCCACGCTCGTGTTGAAAGCAGAGGCGTCCGAAGGCCTCAGTGAGCTGCTCAAGCTCTCCGAGCCTCAGTTTCCCCATCTGTGACCTACGGTTGTTGTGAGGATTACATGACAGCCCTTTCTAATGTGTTATTCTCGCGAGGATTAGTGATAACAACAAAGGGAAGGGAGAAAGTATATAAGCATATATATAGGCTGAGCAGGGCTTTGAGGACCTGGGAGAACCGCGTGAGCTGGGCGGCGGCAGGTGGGGAGGCGCCAGAGAAGCCCACCTGGGAGAACGGCAGCTACGCCCCCCAAGGTGCAGCGAGGCCCCGCTCACTGTCAGGGTGCGGGGGGTCCCAGAGGGAAGAACTAGATGGATTTCTGTTTTCTCTTTTTTTCCCTGCTGTCACTCACTCTTTCTTTATTGATTTTAGAGGGAGGGGGGAAGAGAGACGGACAGAAAGAGAAACTGATGGGTTGTTCCGCTTACTAATGCGGCTCGTTTGTTGATTCTTGTGGGTGCCCTGCCTGACTGGGGCTCGAACCCACAAGCCCGGTGTATCGGGACAGCGCTCTATAACCAGCTGAGCTACTTGGCCAGGGCTGTGGCTGAATTTCCGATACTGGGTTTGAGTTCGGTTTTTGAGGGCAGTCACCTTTTTGATCGGGTCATGAGTCCCTCTGAAGACTGACGCTGGGCAGCTGGTTCCCTCCAGGCTGCCAGCAGGGGTGCTCACAAAGGTCAAGACCACAGGCTGGGTGGGGTCTGGCTGGGGAAGCAAGACCCCTGCCCCCGTGGCCGCCCTGAACTCTGCCCAGAGCCTGACAGGTAACCCCCGGACACCCTGGCTCCTGTTTCTGACACCGGCCCCTACGCGGGCACCTGGCCCCCCAGTGAGGAGGGGGTGCGGGCCTCACACACGCTGAACACCTGCTCTCGCCAGGCCCCAGGTGGGGCACCTGTGCGCCCGTCCGTTCCTCTGACCCTCACAGCAGCCGGCAGAGCGGAGATGGCTATTATCCCCATTTTACCGGTGGGGAAGGTGGGGTTCGGAGGCACCCAAGGCTTGCCCAGGCCACTCCTCCTCCAGAAGCAGTGGAGCTGGGACCCCCTGAGGCTGTCCCGCCGCAAAGCCGCACACACAGCCTTTCACACAGAAGGGTTTCGGCCTCCGGCGCGCGCTCTCCCTCTGCCCCGCCTCCCGGCACGGCACAGCTCGGCTCACAGCCCTCGCCCGCCCGAGCTGAGCCCAGCACTGGCCCTGGCCCTGGCGCCCAGCCATCGGCCCCTCCTAGGACACCCTCCTGCCTCCAGTCTCGGGACGGCGCTGCAGAGACCACGGCGTGGCCTTGGCCCTAGTGGGGTGCTAGGGCTCCCAGCAAAGAGCCTGTGGCTCCCTGCCCCCGACTGCCGTCTTGCAAGGGCTGGGGACTGAGTCTCACCCAACTGTCCCCCACTCCTCTGCAGGACGAAGACACAAGCGCACGTCCTCAACCGAGGGCTTCCAGGGTGGCGTCTCCAGGGAGTGCTGGTCTGGGCGGCTCTCCCAGGAGCTCAGCCCAGTGGCCGAGGTCCCCTCCCCTAGCCTGCCCAGCTGAGGGTCTGTCTCCTGGGCCTGGTTTAGGATGCTTCTCAGGGTATCACTCTTCGCTCTGCTATTTAAGTGCTGTGTGACCTGGGGTAGTTGCTTCACCTCTCTGTGCCTGTTTCCCCACCTGTGAAACGGGAGCAGTAGCAGCCCCACCTCCTGGGGCCGTGATGAGAATGAAATGAACTCACACACGGAGAGGCAGAACAGCGCCTGCCCCAGCCGGGTACCCCAGCGCACTGTCACTTTTCCAACGTCTTCTCCTTCCTGCCACCTTCCCTCTCGGTCCCCTCACACACAGGCCAGGAGTCCTCACGCACCAAGCCCTTCCGTGTCACCACCTCCTGCAGTGGGTGGCCTGAGGTGGTTATCATCGTCCTGATTTTAGGACGGGCTCAGAAGGGCGCCCTGACCGGCCCAAGGCCAGAGTGGGTCAATACCCCCGGGCCCCACCATGCCGCCCCGCCAGTCAGTGTGTGCCCTGGCCTCGCCGAGTGGCCCACAGCAGAGGGGCGTCCTGCGGCTGACCCACCGCCTGGCTCGGCCTGAGGTCCTACACCAGAGCAATAACTTCAGACAAAGCCCCACAGCGCCAAGGCGGGGCATCGTCTGCTCTGTCTCCGCTGTCAGCCCTGAGGGTCTGAGCCCGCAGCGCCCCAGGGAGAAGGGCCAAGGGGAGGTAGAGGGCAGCACCGTCTCCTTCTGGTCTCCTGGTCGGGGGAACATTCTCCTGGACGTGCCTTTCTGTCTCCCTTGCCCTTCCACCTCGCACTGGGTGAGGCTGGGGACCTGCCCCCTGCTCCAGAATCCAGAGTCCCTGGAGGCAGTGGGAAGAACCTGGTCTTGGAAACAATTATTCCACTGTTTAAGGTCTGACCTGACTTTGAGAGAGTTACTTAACTTTTCTGAGCCACAGTTTGCTCATCTGCAAAATGGGCACACGAAAGTTCCCTGCTTTACAGAGTTGTGGGAATTCCACCTGGGGGGAAACTGAGGTGCAGATAAGGCCAGCCTATGAGTGAGTCCCCAGGGGGGTTGCAGTGGAGTAACTGGGGAGGCTCAATCCCGGAGAGACCCCCACCCTGGAGGGGACCACCGCCTCCCAGACCCACGGACCCTTCCGCCCCCACCTCCTCAGACACCCCCTTGGGCACATCCGGACTCTGTCACTCACACGCATCACACACGCCACCCACTCACCCAGCAGAACGACACCAAAAGAGACTCCCCCTCCTCTGTGGGGGGTCAGCCCACCCAGCCCAGCTGCACCCACACAGCTCCCACTGCACTGCCCCAGGCACCACTGCACCCCAGCAGCCCCCCTTCAGGTGGGCTACGCTGAAGGGGCGCCCACCCTTCCTCCCTGCCTGGCCCTCGGCGCCCCCTGCCCTCTGGCCTCTGACCCCGTCGGCAGCACGGCTCCACCATCCTACTGGACACCCCCTAACGCACCAGACGGGGGTCCTGGCAGTCAGGCCCCAAAGTCAACTCCCAGCCAACGCAGCCTTGGGGTGCACAGTTCACAGGAAGGGGGACAGTAGGGAAGAGAGTCAGGGCACGAATGGGCACGCCCGACCAGGACGCCTGCTGCCTGGCCCTGGGACCATCCCCATTGCCCACCTCCCATCTCCCAGGCAGCCTGGGCAGGTGCTGAGCAGCCTCCGCCCGCCCGCCCCCAGGCCTGCCTGCTCAGGACCATTAGCCACCCCTCCCCCTGCACGGCCCTGAGCAACGGTCCATCTATTATGCATGCTGCCCTCCTGCTCCATCCCATTTCCCGAGTCCCCCCCCCACCACAGCCCCCGCCCCCCCCCCAGGGCTTTTAACCAAGTACATTAGGCAGGGCCAGATGCCAGTCTGACAGATGTCCACGGCGCTGGCCTCTGTTTCCCTCCTTCCCTCCTCTGCCCAGCCCAAGACCCCCCACCGCTGCAAGTCCTCCAAGTCCTCTGCGGCCCAAACTCCCCAGCCTCCTCCTCCTCCCCGTCTCTGCTCCGCGCCTCCCACCTGCCCCTGCCAGGCCCTCCCCATCCCGCCCTGCGCCGCCCCCGTTGGCCTGGCTAACTTTCAACTTCCAGCTCCTGGAGAGCTGAGGCGTGCTGAATGAATATTCCATCTGGGTGATTATTATTCACATGATATTAATTAATTATTAATTGCAATTAATCTCCTTCATTCCCAACCTTCCTCTGGGAGGTAGGAGGGGCCTGGCACCTGAAAGGGACAGGGGGTGGTGGCATTTGTGGGTGCGCTGGGGGCCTGGAACCTTTTCCCAAGGCCCCATCCTCAGCGGGGACAGGAAGGAGAACAACAAGCTGATCGGTGCAAGGGGGAAACTGAGGCAGGAGCAAGCACTAAGCTGTTCCACAAAGGCCCACGATGGGTGGCTATGGCAGGGACCCAGAATCCCTAACCCCTGGCTGGGCGCTCAGCCGCTCTCCCTCCCCTCACTGCCCTACCCCAGCCCTGTCTCGGGTAAAACCCCGGCTTTGGCAGGACAGGAGTGGGGGCCGGCAGAAGGCTCACTGAGACTGGACGGAGCCTTGGGCGTTTCAGCCTGCTGAGGGCAGGGGATCCCCGCGATGATGCAGGGGCCCTGGAGCAGGGCAGGTGTGTGCTCCCACCAGTGGGCTCCAGCACCCACTGGGTAGCCAGCCCATGGTAGAAAAGGGGAAGCACCAGGAGCCAGCTGCCCGGAGGCGCCCAGACCCTGGCTGCCCCTGGCCTGCCACGGGCTCCTTGGAGGCCTGCTCCAGCCCCCTGGCCTCCCCACCGAGCTCCACTCACCGGGCCCCGGGGGGGCTCCTGGCGGACCCTGGTGTCCAGCTGCTGCTTTCGGACCTCTCCCCCGGAGCTCTCCCCGACCAGACGGCTGGGCTCTGTGACCTCAGGGGCCTCCGGGCCCCACAGCTGGGGTGAGACCCTCCAACGCAGGGCTCCAGCAGGACCCCGGGTCCCAAGACCTGGGGAGACAAGGCCATAGCTGGAGGCAGATGCCCACCGTTGGGCTGGAGACTTGGGAATGGAATGGGCACCCCCACCCCCTACTCCGGCGTGGCTCTTGGGGCCCTGGGGGTTTTGAGGGGAAAGAGACGGTGCCCTGCAGGGGGAGGCGTCCGATGGGATGGGGAGGGGGCCGGCAGCTTGCTTCACTTCTGCCCAACTGTCACGACTGCCCCCCCAAACCGCAGAGACCTGCAGAGTCCGCCGGCCCGCGGCAGGGGGATGGCCGAGGAGCGGCGGGCCAGATGGGGACAGGTGGGTGTCCGCACCCTCCCTCCTCCCCCGCCCCCACCCTCCTGCACCCTAGACCGGCTGTCACCCCGAGCACTGCAGGGAAATGTGGCTGCAGCAGAAACCGCCGCAAAACCCCGGGGCGGGGGCGGGGAAGGGGCTCCGGGCGGGCGGGGGTCACTCACCGGGCGCGGGGAGCAGCGGCGGCGGCAGCAGCAGCAGCAGCGCCGCGACCGCCCAGCGCCGCAGCCGCCTCATGGCTCGTTCATAATCCTCCGGGTCCGGGGGCTGCGGCTGAGCGGCTCGGCGCGGGCGGAGGCGGGACGCGGGCGGGGGCGCGGGCTGCGGAGCCGCGGGCGGGGGCGCCGGCCCGGTGCGGGGCGAGGCTGGCGGCGGCGGCGGCGGCGGCGGGGAGGGCGCCCGGCTCAGCGCGCTCCGGCCGCGGCCATCCCGGCGGGGCGGCGGGCCGGGTTAAGAGCGGAGCGGCGAGCACGTGAGCCGAGGGCCCGCCCCCGCCCCCCGGGGCCTCCCCAGCCGGGCAGGGCCCGGGCCGCCGAGACTGGAGGACAAAAGAGGCGCCGCCCCGGGGCCGGCCTTCTCGCACCTCCTCGGCGGCCTTCCTCGGCAGGTGCGGGGCCGGTCGCGCCGGTCCCCCTCCCGCGACCCCCTCCTCGGCCACCCCTTGCTCGGAGGTCCAGCAGAGTTGTAGGGGGGAGAGAAGCGGGGTGCACAGGGACCCCCGAGCTCTGACCCGGTGACTGCCAGTCTGGGCACCCGCGGGATCGAGGTGCGGGGGCGTGGCTGCCCCGGACCAGGTTCACCCCTAGAGCGTTGGACCCAGGAGGCGGCTTCCAGCGGACATAGCCGGGAAACCCCGCTAATCCCCTGTTAACCGAAGGCTTTTGGAGCCAGAAAAGTCAGGGACTGGACTGAGGGCAGAGGCTCATTTGGCTAAAATCCCGCCGGGGGCCTTTGGGATCCCTCCACCTCCTCGCAGAGCAGGGCACTGCGGAGCCCTCCCATACCGCCCCCCCCGTCCAGTTCCCTTTCCATCCCACAGGCTCTAGCTGGCCGCAGGTGCCTCTGCCTCCAGAGCAGGGATGCAGGGCTTGCTGTCACCGAGCCACCAGGACAGGGTGGCCTCCCCTCTCTGGGCGCCTTGGTCCCTCACCAGGGCATTGCAATCCTCTCCCCTAAACATCACGTTAACTAGCCAGGTCAGTTACGCAGTGTCAGAGTGCTCCATTTCTGCCCCCCCCTCGCCGGCCCAAATCTTTGAGGAGCAGTGGATACCTGTGGAGCCCCCTAGATTTCCCTCTGTGGGCCGAACAGGTTGCCCTGCCTGCAAACCACCTGCCTCCCAGCTGCCTTTGGAGCTGCCCCTGCACCGCAGCCTAGCTACCAGGTCCCCGGTCAGCACGGATGCCCAGACTAGGGGCTTGGATCTCTGACCCCTGCAAGGGACCCCAGGATCCGGAGACCGGAGATGGGGTGGGGAGGTGGCAGAGAGCGGGCACTACTGGGAAGGCCCCCACCCTGACCTGTACCCAAAGCCAGAGACTCCTTGAACGCACCCTGGGAGACACAGGTCACTGAGGAACAGGAGCAGAGGAAGGGAACCCCTTCCTGGGTCCTCTGCCCCCGGGGACCCAGGGCCTCCACCACCAGGAACGGGGAAGCTGCCTGCAGCTGGTGGTGCCGCCCCCGCCCTATTTCAGGCCCAGGAGACACTGACATCAGCGCTGGGAGTGGTGATGCCCCTCTTCCAACCACCTGCCCCTTCAGACCCAGATGCCCAGCAAGGCTGAGCCCATTGTCCCTTCACTCTGGAAACTTCTTGGAAACCTCTTAGGGATAAGGGAGCTCTCAGGGTTGAGGACCTACTGTGTGACACTCCCTGGTAATCCACAATCACCCAGGAGGGAGAGATTGTGCTTCTCAGTTTACAGGTGGGGAAACTGAGGCTCCGAGAGGCCGTTCTAGCTCCCCAGGGTCACACAGCCAGCTGGTCAGTGAGGGTTCCACACTCCAGGGTCCCTCCCTCTCTGGCCACCCCCGTCCCCGCCTCTGCCTTCTGTCTTGGACCTAGAGGAGACTGGCCCATCGAGCCCAGCCCCTCCCCACGCACACACCGCCAGGGCGAGGGGTGTGCCTTGTGCCAGGGCCAGGCCACTGAGCCCTGACCCCGTGTGCCTCCCAGAAGGACAGGTGGGGTTGTCACTTCACAGCGGAGGACCCTGGGCCTGGGGCAGTCTAGGTGCCCTCCTCCCACAGGCCCAGGACCACACTGCAAGCCCGCTGTGCTCTGGGCCTCCAAGGCCGAGACACGTTCCTACCACTTCCATGGCCCTGGCTCCTCGGGCTCCTTGTTGGGGAGACCTTCCTGGACCCCCCAGAGTGACTTTCCTCTGGTGGCATTCTGGGCTGGCTCTGGGGGAGGCTCAGTCTTGTGGCCCGTGGCCCCCAAGAGCAGCTTATTTTCCTGGGCTCCCCAGTTCTAGGCAGGCCCAGCCAGGCATCTTGGCCCTCCCCTGGCCACCCCCCACCCGCACCCCAGACCCCCATCTTGTCTTCCACGTCACCCCTGCTCCAAGCCGCATGAGTCCCCCAAGCCGGAAGCCTGATTCCTTCACCCACCTTCCCTCCTGAGGTTGGGGGCCGTGGGGACCGCCTCTCCCCAAACCAGGGGTCCCTGGGGGAATCCCCCCAACCCCACTGTGACGGGGGGCTCCTTTGGCCCCTCTGACCCCTTGCTTGTTTCCCCCAAGAGGAGGCCTGGGAACTCTACATAGAGGCTGGTGGCCCCTGTTTCTGTCATGCTGTCACCTGCAGGGTCACTGCTGCTGAGGGAGCCGTTAGGCTCTGGTCCCCAGTCCCCCCAAGGAGCTCCCGCCCCCAGGAGGCCTGGGGCCTGCCGTCCCCCCAGTTCTTCCTGCCTCTCAGTCCGTCCTTCCCCCCAGGGTCCCACCCGGGGTCCGGGCTGGGTTGGTGTGGAACCGAGGCGAGAAAACCAAGTTTCAGGGGTTTGCCTGGGATCACAAAGTGGCAGGGCTCAGATTTGAACTCAGGCCTCTCCGGCTCAAAGGCTTGCACTGCAGGGTTCATGGAGACTATGGGACATAAACCTGAAGAGTGGGCTTTCTCGTTCTTGGCCAGGGGCATTCCAGGTCAGGGACCGGCAGCAGGACTCACGGTGCCCAGAGGCAAGGGGGTCAGCCTGGCTGGAGGGGGTGCGGTGGGGGGTCACGGCACAGACCACCAGGGAGCGGGGTGGGTGTACAGGGAGGACAGCCAGCAGGGAGCGTGATGGGGGGACCTGGGACTGGTCGGAGCAGCCAAAGGGGCGGGAGCTGGAGACTGCGGGAAGGACGTGATGGAGCGGGAGCCAGTCTCAGACCAGGGGTGAGGTCCTCGGTAGCTGGCTGGTGGCCACAGTGGGACGGGAAGGGCACAGGGACTTTGTGGGAGGTCACAGCATCTTATTATTGGGAAGAAGGACCTTTGGGATCATCTCGTCCAAGCTCCTCACTTAGGCAGGGAAACTGAGGCTCAGAGTGGTGAAGGGACTCCCGCAGAGTCCCAGTGTGGGTTGGGGTGGTGGCCAGATCTCCCGCCTTCCTGCCAGCACCATCGGCCAAGATGAGGACTCAGCAGGAGGCCAGGGGTGGAGCTACTGATCCAGGTCAAACTCGGAGAAGTGAAAGAGCCAGGGTCCGGTGGGGGGGTGGGGGTGGGGACGAAGGGCCCAGACCCTCCTCTGGGGAAGCAGTGAGGGCGGAGGGCTCATTAGAGCCCTGGGAGCGACCCGGGGCGGCCACCTCAGGCCCCTGCCGCACGAGCACGTGCACTTGCTAAGGACAAGGGGGACCAGGCTGATCTGGGGCCACTGGGAGTGGGAGCCAGGTTTCAAGGAGGTAGGAAAGGAGAACAGGAACCTGACTCTGGAAACTAGCAGGTTAGCCGGGGACCTTGGGATGGCCAACTGCGGCAGTTTCCACGATGGAGGCGTGGGGGGAAGGCCGTGCAGACAAGGAGGCCGTGGCTGCAGACCAAGACGCAGCTGAGAGCAGGAGGGAGCGTTCCTCAAGCTCCCGAGTCGATGCGAGCGTCTTCCAGGCTGGAGCTGTCCGGCAGAGCGAAGACAGGGTGGCGAACCTGAGGTCAGCAGGGCTGGCCGGAGTGGCTGGCTCGCACGGGTACAGCCTGACTAGGGGGAGGGGGAAAGGACACTGCTTCCTCTGAGTCGGGTGTGGGAGAGAAACTGAGAGCAGGGTGAGGCGGTGCTTGCTGAGTCTGGGTCAAGGTCATTGGCTGAGAATGAGGGAGTACAAGGACAGTCCCCATGTCAAGGAGCCACCGAGGGGCCCAGTATGTCAAGTAGCACCCCTCTGCCCTGGGTCCCCTCTAAATTTGTGTCCTGGAGGCTGGAATTGAGACCTGGCTGAGATATGACGTTCAAGGTCAAAATCGTTGAGATGGGAGGGGAAGGCCACAGAGTTGGATGTGAGGTCCTGGGCAGATGGCGACCAGGGTGCCAGAACCTGGCGTGGGTCGGGGTCGGCAGCACGCAAGGGCATGGGAGACGAGGTCTGAGACAGAGGTGGGGCAACATCTCGTCCAGAGCAGCATCGTGGGGAAGGCCCTGGGGACGAGGCATCCCCGTGTGTCACACCAGGGACCAGAAGGAAGCCACTGTCTGGGCCCTGGGGGAGGGGACAGGGACCTCAGCAGGGTCTGAATAAGGGCAAAGGCACTTCCTATGCAGTGGGTGGTGAGCACGTCCTCCACAGCAGACCGCTCCACCGACGGCAGAGCCAGGCAAGTGCCCCGAGACTGGACAGACGTAGCCCCAGCTGCCCTCGGCCCTCAGGGGCCAGGCCTCCGGGTGGGGTGCACTCACACAGGTTCCCTCGCTCGCAGGAGGCTCTGTCCTGCTGGACAGCTGTTCCGTCCACGTCCTCTGGGCCCTCAGCATGGCCTCGGGTCACTGGGGGGCAGGGGAAGGCCTGGCCCTCTGTTTCCCAGCCCCATCTCTTTGCTATTTGTTATTAACAAATTTATTTACAGTTCCCGAAGCAAGATTAATTGTGAAGTTTAACAGGAATAGCATAAAAAGGCCAAACACGACCTCCGCGAGGGCTGTGCGCACAGTTGCTCTATTTCCAAACTAACAGCTCAGGTCCTCACCCGCAGCCAGGCCCCCCTTTCTGCCTCCAAAACGGGAACAGAATAGCACCAGGCTTTCTGGTGGCTTCCACATTTAAAGAGACAAACACACAGAGGCAGGGAAGGGTGAGAAGAACCACAGTACAAAATGTAATAAAGAAAAAAAAGTGGCTCAAGAATCGATAGCAAACCCATCTCTGTCTCCGGATTAATGGCTTGGCGGAGGGAAATGGGGGGAGGTCCTCAGGGAGGGAGGGAGGGAGGGAGGGGGGAGCGAAGAGGATGATGGAGGAGTTGGCTGGGGAGCTGCTGACCCTGGAACAGAGCCCCAGGTGGGCAGCCCAGATGCAGGAAAGAGCAGAGAGGGGTCTGTCCCCAGACGGGGACCTGGCCACATCTTGGGCTCCGGGGGGCAAGGTCAGTGCTGGGCCCCCCACTGAGTGCAGGGGGAGGGAGCCCTGTGAGTGCAGCCGCCGAGCCCCTCCTCTGCTTCATATGTTCCCGAGGATCTGTGTGCACAGCGTGGGGGGCTGGGGGAGGGGACGCACACAGGCATCGCAGAAGGCAGGGGAGAGCCACATGCTTGTGCGAAAGGAGGCTGGGGTGGGGGTGGGGAGCGCTAACCAACCCTGGGCTCTGCAGAGAGGCAAGTGCCTGCGGAGGGACAGGAAGCCAGGCCAGGGTTCCCGTGGCTCCAGCTTCTCTGTAATCACTTCCTGTGCCAAGCTTGCCTCTGCCTCCTGGCAAGCAGGCGGCTGGCCATGGCTGGAGAAGTCCATCGCAGATCCCTGCCCAGCCAGGAACTCGGCTGGAGGCGGGGGTAGGAGAGGGCGGTCCCTAAGCCCAGGCTCCCTGGGTTTCACCTGAAGCCCGGGTGGGCGGGAGGACCGGGTCTGTCCAGCCCAGAGCTTGGCCATGGCCACAGCTGTTCACTTGGACTTCAAAGGCCTGGCCCCAGGCTCCTTCTGGCTGTGCTGGAGAGGCCCTGGGGCGCCTCCTCTGTGTCTGTTCCACCCTGGCCTTTGGTGTGCAGCACTGGGCCAGGTACAGCTGGTATCTCCACACCTGGCCCTCCAGCCAGAGCTCTGGCCCCAAGAAGAGCTTCATGCCCTGAGTGGCGCACGAGAGCAGTTTGCTGCTGGTGCCAGGAGATGAGGAGGCAGGAGGCCAGCAGAGGGCTGGGGAGAGGAGTAGCCTGGCTCTCCTCTCCCCAGCCCTCCCTGGGGGCTATGTGCCCGCGGCAGCTGAGTGCAGGTGGGCTGCCAGCTGGCCTGCAGCTGCAGAGCAGCTGGGAGGCCGGTCAGTCTGCTGAGAGACAGGGCTAGGGGCTGCGCACTCCGAATCCTCAGAACCCGGGGAGCACCCTCCCCCAGGCCAGGGGGCCGGTGTGGCCCAGAGCTCAGCCGGCCTGTCTGTGCGCTGCCAGGGAAAGGGGTCCGGGAGGGAGAGGCTGGTCTGTGGGGGGCACAAGGGCAGGACGGAGGCCAGAGGGCTGGACTCCTGGCCTGGAAGGGGAAGGGAGAAGAGCTGCCTGCCATCGGCTGTCCAGGTGCCACAGGGGCTGAGGGTTCTCGGGGCAAAGAATGAGGCCTGTGGCCAGGAGACCCCTGGCCGCCTCTTGGCACTGCCACCGGGGGACTGAGCCTTCCGCTTGTGGCCAACAGGCGCTGGGTCCGGGCCAGAGGAGAGGTCCTCGAAACCGCAGCTGGTCGGAAGGCACTGGCAAGTCGGGCTCCCGGACACCAGTGTCCCTGGGGAGTCCACGGTGGTGTCAGCGGACGCCCCCAGGTCTCGGCCGCTTGCTGGTGGTCCAGGCCCCGCACCGGCCCCCACACAGTCAGCTGGTGCTTTCTCGCTGCCCGCCACCCCATCCTGTCCCGGGCTGCCTGGGGCCTGGTGGTCCTCTTCCTCCCTCGTCCTGGGAGATGTTGCCCCGCCACAGGCGGGCTGGCTGGGAGACAGCGTCTCAGGACACAGGAGGTCACGATCCGAAGCTGGGGAGCCTGGCTGCCTGTGGGGACAGAAACACCCTTTGGGCCACAGGGCTCCACAACAAAGCAGACAGGACGCTGAGAGCCTGCTGGGCCGGGCAGAGGGCGGGGTGGGCCTGGGGACACGCATGGTGCTGCCCTTGCGGGTCGTCGGGTGCTGAGGAGACCCGCCGCCTCCGGGGCCCCATGAAACGCCTGCTCTTCGGGTCCGACCCCGCGGCGGGGGCCAGTGCCGTCTGCGCCTCTCGGCTCTGCGGCCTGCGGTCAGGGCTGGCCAGAGGGACAGGTTAGAGGCTGTTCCATTTAATAACTGCACGGAGGAGGCTGTGCCCTTGGGCGGCCGGAGGAAGCAGCGGAGCCGGGCGGCCCACGCTGGGCTGGGGAAGCGGGACCCGCGGCGGAGACCGGCCGAGAGGTGAAGCCACAGCGCCTGGACAGAAGCTCAGAGCCCCGGAATTCCACCGATGCACCCACAACCCTGCTTCCCGGGGGCGACTTCCAGAGGGGCCGAAAGACCTGGCTCTTCACCTGCCTGGAAGGGACCCAGGAGTCCCCCCTGCACACTTCTGGAAGGCCAGACAGGCAGCAATGACCAGACACGTGACCAAGGAGTAAGTACAACTGCGGAAGGTTCTCCCCGCCCCCACCACCGTGGCCACGCCCAAGTGTCAGGAAGGGAGGGGCGCCCCACTCGGGGTCCGGTTCCAATTGGCTAAAGCCACAAGTGGAGGGCCTTCCCCCTCCGCCCCCCTGCATCTCTAAAGTGAACAAAATAGAAGGTGACGGTGACGGGGGGTGGGGGGGGGGTGGGGGGGGTGGGAAGAAAGGTGAGAAAAATGTCACAGCCTGGCTCCTGCAGGTGGACCTGAGGGCTCCGCCCCCCGACCACCTAGAGAGGGCAGCAGCAGCAGCTGGAGGAGGGAAGCCTGGCCACGCCCACCACCCTGGGCAGGGCGGTGCCCGGGCGCTCACCTGGGGAGGTGGGCCTGGAAGGGGACGTCCACGAAGCTGTGGCTGAGCTGGGCGATGATGCGATCGACTTCTGCGTACGGGTGGGCTTCTCGGGCAAAGCCCCGGTGCTGGGCACTCTGGAGATGCTGCCCGGGCGAGAGGGGGCACAGGACGTTAGGCAAGGCCGGCGCAGGGCGCCAGGGAGAGCCTGCGAGGGAAAGGCCCTCTGGGGCAGTCCCAGAGAGCGCTCGGCGGGAGGGGCTCACCCCGTGGAGCTCCTCGAAGGCCTCGCGGCAGCACTCGCAGTACCCCTTCCTCCTCCTGCGTGCGGCGCGGGCGGTGGGCCACCGGCCTGCCTCCTGGCCCTTGGGCTCTCTGGGGGGAAAACAGGGTGGGAGAGAGCGGTCACTCTTGGGCCCCTCCGAGCGGAACTGCTGCTCTAGGGCCTGGAGCTCGGGCCGGGGTGGGGACGGACCGAAACGGCCACGGAGCTGGGTAGGCACAGGCAGGCCCCCCCCACACCCGGCACCAGGTGTCCAAGGGCGGCAGGAGAGGCAACAAGACGGGACATCCCACGCGGACACCCTGTCTCAGCTCCGTCCTTTCTCCACCCATACACCTCGAACCACAGGCGAGAACGCGTGGCGGTGGGTGGCGGCGGGACTCCTTGGAAGGGCAGTCCAGCCCTGCGCTCCTACCCACACCCACCACCTTCGTCTGACCTGCTCCAGGAAGGGGAAAAGGCCTCAACAGCAGTGAGGGGACTGTGCCGCCCTGGACCCCCTCCACCTCACCTGTCCCCTCCCTCATGCTCACGTGTCCCCTGCAGAGCTGCCCCGTCACCGTCACCGAGGGCTTGCGAATCTCTCTCTCTCAGACCTGACTCCTCATTTGAGCTGCAGTCCTGGACTTCCAACAGCCTGCAGGCCCTGGCTCCTAGGCCGTCCAAGCAAACTCAACGCATCCAACAGTCTGCTTTCTAAGTGGGGCACAAAACGCTCCCCAAACGGGAAAACTACACGCAGCTTTTTAAAACGTACGCCTCACAGAAAACAAGCAAAGTTAAACGAGAAACCACCAATGGGGGTGGGGCGGTGGTATATACAGCTACACCACAGAGAAAGGCTCATCCTCCTCCTGGTGAAGGGCCCCTTACGAGCCCCCAGGAAAGGGATCGACACCCGAAGAGAGAAACTCAGATGACCAGACAACGCAGACAGAACCTCGTTCGCAGTGAGAGAGAACGAAGATGCCAATTACACCGAGAGAGGGCTCTCCGTCTAGCAGGCCGGCCGGCCGAGGCTGGGGAGCCCCACAGCTCTCAGCAGGACCCGAGGGGGTGGGCCAGTGTTTGCTGGCGGCGCCTCCGTGAAAAGCCATTTGGCTGCCAAATTAGAAATGCAGGCACCCTTTGACCTAGTATTTTCCCTTTTAGGAATTTATTCCACAAACACACTTGAACAAGACTATTCACTGCAGCTTTCTTTGTAACGACAAAAGACTGAAAATAATCTCCGCCATCCATCAGTAGGAGACTGGGTGAGTACAGGAAATCCATGCCACGGAGTGCCCTGCAGCCACGCAAGGGAGTCAGGACGCTCCTAGGTACCAACAGGAAAGGGATCTGAGATACAGTGAGCAGTGAGAGCAGGGCCCGGCCCAGCTGATCGCACGGTGCTCTCTGTGTGACAGGACGGAGGCCTGTGGCCTGGAGATTAGAGAGCGGGTGCGGGAGGCCTTAAACCCTTTGTAATGCTTGAATTTTGAGCCAAAGTGATAACTTTTAAATTAAAAAAAAATTAAACCTCTCCTGCCGCTGATTGTACATGCACACGGAACCCTGGCCAACATCCTCCATTCTCCTCATGTGCAGACGCCCCAGCTTCACTGCGTCCCCACCTTCCCCTTACCCCCTCTGCGACTCCAAGGCCATGCAAGGTGCAGCATGGCCTGCAGCCTGAGGCTGCGGGCCCCTGGCCGGCTCTCTCATCCTCCCCTCCCCCCTGTTGCCACGCCCCCCCCGCTGGTTTTCCTCCCACTCGCGCTACTTCCTGATCCTCTGCCGGGGGACCCGCCGTGAATCTCATGGCCGACTCTGCGCTGCCCTGTTCTCCTGGTCTGTGGACTAACCGTGTGGTCCGGAGCTTAGAAGGGGCCCATGAAGGCATCAGCTTCTCAGCTGAGCCGCATTCCTTCTGCGCTTGGGTGAGTGAAGGTTCCCGTGTCACACGTCTGCAGAGTGGGAACGCCAACAAGCCCACAAGCCACATCAGGCCACACGGCGCCCAGATAACTAAGGTCCCCTGCCCCTCAGTTACTCCCTGTCTTTAGCCCGCAGGCCTCAAGTGCCGCTGTGCACCCAGCCACCCAGGGAGCTCGGGCGGCTGCAGCTTCTGGGGCTCCGTCACCAGACACTGTGATGCTGTACCTGTGACGTGGAGTCCAGGAACTGGCATTTAAAAAATACCCTCACCCAAGGATGTCTATTGATCTTGAAGAGAGAATAAGGGAGAAAGAGAAATGCCAATGGGAGAGAAACATCAATATGAGAGAGAAACTTGCATCAGCCACCCCCTGTGGGCACCCCAGCAGGGGACTAACTGGACCTGCAACCTTTCGGGGTACGTGTGGGTGAGGCCCCAGCCAAGCCACCCGGCCAGGGCCAGGGCCAGGGCCCTGCATTTTTAAGGGGACCCCAGGGGACTCTGATGAACGCGGTCTATAAATCCGAGTTCCAGAAACAAGACGACTGTCCTCTGGACACAGGTCAAATTCTTCAGTGCGAACGGAGAACAGCAAACGAAACGGATGAACACTCCTCCCCTCTTCTCTGGGCTAAGTTCCCAGAACAGACTTCGCATACGGAGATGACACATGGCCATCCCCGATCCGACCAGCAGGCCCCTGGGGCAAGGACTCGGGCCTGTGACCAGCCCTTGTTACGCAGGGACCAGAAAGACCCACCTGGTGCGGTGTGAGCTGCCCGGGGTCGTCGGGGCCTCAAAGGGACTTGCGTCTTTGGGTCCCAGAAAAGAAATTTCTGGAAAGGATTTAAACTGATGGTGGAAAGGACGAAACTTCCTGAAACACAGAAAACTTCCACTTTGACTATCGTGCGGAAGGAAGAGGAGGAGGAAGGGGGGGGGGCCAGCCCAACCCCCTCGAGTTCCAACCCTGAGAGTGGACTCTTGCCCACGCACCTTCCGGGTTCGGACACAAAACTCCCATCAGCCCTACGAGGTGAAGCTCATACTTAAGCTCTCCGGGGCTCCTCAAGCCTGTCTGGACTCACTGCTTCGCCCGAGTCCTGCAGCTACCCGGAGCGGAATGAAACACGGGTCAGGAAAGCCCTAAGGGTTCTGGAACTCACCCAAGGGCTCACGGCCAGTCTGTGGCCGAGGCCAGACCAGAAGCCCTGTCTCCCAACTCCTGATCTTGTTCCCCCCACACTTCCATGTTGTTTCTTGACCCTGAATCAACCTCTGAGGACTCCAGCCCCGCAGAGTCTAAATGGAAGGGTGTTTAAACCAGAGCAGTGCTTGTCCTGCTCCATGACAAGCACCACGTTTGCCCTGGGCTGCTCCTGTGCGCCCTCGCCCCCTCTGAAGCGGAGGCTTCTGGGCAGAGGAGGGCGCCGTGAGGGCTCTGCAGAGTGGGACCCGGACTGAGCCGGTTGGGTGGTGGGTCCCAGCTTGCTCACGTGCGAGCTCGGAGCCAGGTCTGAGGATGTGCGGACACTCGGCACACGCTGTGGTGTCACTGTGGGCTCCCCCGCCCCCCACCGCCGTGTTTGGTGTCATGGCCTGTGCTCCAGCGCCGGGAGGCGGGGGGCGGGGGGGGGGGCGCGGGCCATGGGTTCCTGGGTGGCTCAGCGAGAGCCCTGTGGCCTCAGGAATGAGTTAACAAATTTCCTGGATCCCTGAACAGAACGGGGTGCCCTCCACAGCGCCGGTACCCCACTTCTTTCTCTTCAGTGTTTCTTTGTTCCTGTTTAGAAGGCTGGAATGTTGAGGACGGTAAGGCTATCAGGCTTGGAAGGCATGTTTCAGAACAGCACAAAAATATCACCGGAAACCCCAGTGCCACTTGAATCTCTTCTGCTGCCTCTCACGTTAGGGGCACACAAGTACGCGTGCCCCGCTCTGGTGACAGTGGCGTCACCTGTGCCTGCCGCCTGCAGGGGGAGCCCCGGAGGCACGGGCGGGCTCGCTCGGCCGCCGCGTGCGCATGCGTCACGCCTGCGTGTATTTAACTGGATGGAACGAGGCTGCGATGGACGGACACGCGCTCCATCCCACCGGAACTGGAGGGGGCAGCACCTCGTCGCCGTCCCTGTGCTCTTGACGCTCATTTCTGGGCCACCAAAGCCAACTCTGCACTGTGTGCAGGGACGGAGAAGGCAACTCGGGGCCACCTGGAGGGCGGGCAGAATGCCGGGCTCACGGGCTGGGTCCTTAGGCTGCCCCGTGTGAGGGCGCGGGGCCAGAACACTCCGGTCCCCGGGCTCCCTGCTGGGTACACAGGGGCCTTCTCTCTTTTCAAAAACCTTCTGAGATAATTATAGATTCACGTGGCCTTTTGATCTGGTGCGCACTGGAGAGTCGGTGGTGACCCAGGTGGCTAAGAGCTCACCAGGGGATCATCGACACGGCCTCCCTGCTGTTCCAGATCGAAGGGTGCGCGGGGCACAGCGGAGAGGGCGCCAGGCGGGACGGTGACCGCACCTGGGCTCCAGCCCCAGCTAAGCTTCCTTAGTGAGGCGGCAGGTGCGAGTTCCTAATTTCTCTGACCTCGGTCTCCCCACGAGGAAGGGGGGTGGCCTCTTTCCCATCGAGGGCTGCCACGAGGACACGTACCAGAGGGGGGCCCTGCCCGGCACAACAGGAGGGCTTCCCCGGGCGCGAGGGGGCCCCGGCAGCACCCCAGCACTCTCACTGCAGCCAAGACCGCTGCGCTGGCTCCGCTCCGGGTCCAGCAGCGGCTCGACAACAGGTGTCAGCGCACCGCGAGGAGCGAGCGTGGGGCGAGAACGAGCCCGCACGGGGGCTTCATGGGCTCATCAGAGCAGAGTGCTAACAGGAGGCGATCACACCCGGGATCGTCAGCCTCCGACTCGTGGCCCGGGTGAGTGCCAGGCAGGCCACGCCGCCCTCAGGGGCGCCTCCTCCCGGTCTGTGCGAGGCTTCTCCACGCCGGGGTGAGAAAGCGGCTTCTGGGGAGACAAAGCTACGGGGCTGGGGGGGCTCCACGACCCCACATCAGCTTAGGACCCCTCCTCTGTGGGGGCCTGGTGGGGGTGAGAGGAGAGGGAGGAGGCCCCACTCACCGGCTCTCGTCTTCGATTTTGAGGAACGGTGCCTTCAGTCTGGCCACTGGAAAGGAAGCGTGCACCGTCAGCTCCCCGTCTGCCCGGCGCGGGGCCCGCACTGCACACACGGGAAACGCTCAGGGCGGCGAGGGCCTGCCAAGGCCTAAGAGCTTCTCAGAGCTGGGACGCACGTGGTCCCCAGGTGGGCGCTTGGCAGAGGTAAGCCACCCAGAAAGGGTTCCGCCGTCGGGGGGAGAGGCTGCCAGGTGCCTGGGGTCCTAGAGCGGCGGCCCCTCCTGCACGCGGGCGTTGGAGGCCGTCCACTGACGGGCAGAAACGGCGCTGAGCGCTGAGCGGGAGGAACCCAGCCCCTGCTGGTCTCTGCTACAAGCTCCTTCCCAGACCTTGGCTCCTGGTGTCTCAGAATGCCGAGGGGCCCTGGAACTACTCCTGGGCAGAATTTTCCACGAAGACCCTGGGTTTGTTTTGTTTTGTTTTGTTGGGGGGGGGGGGTGGAGCAGAGAGGGAGAGAGCTAAAGAGTGTTTAGAGATCTTAGTAGAAGGATGGTAAAAAAAAACAAAAAAACATCAAAGGTGAAATCTGGTGCCCCCCCAGAAAATAGGGCAAAGGGGTTCTTCAAGGACAAATTTGGAGTCAATTAATCAAGAGATTCGTCCCCTAGAGAGTTACTGGCACAGGGTACAAAATCTGTTAGGCCTTAAGAACCATTTCTACCCTCCCATGGAGGCCAGAGGTCCCGCCAAAGGGGCTGCCGGCCTGGGCAGAAGTGACAGCCACCATCTCCAAAGAGGCTGGCGTCTCACAGCTCTGGGCCCGTTCGAGGGAGCCACCAGGACCCAAGCGGAAAAAAGCAGACTCTCTGCTTGCACACAGGCAGTTCCCATTAATTACTTTTTGGGGCGATCCTTTGTCTAATTAACTGAGACAGTTATTAAATCAAGTCCCCCATAGGTTTCCTTGCATTTCGAACACGGGCGGTGCCAAGTGACTTTTCTTAGCTTCCGCTGGTGCAGGGATAAATGCCACCTAAAGAGCATCTTTGGGAGAAGCTCCAGGGGGAGAAACTCTCCTGCCGGCCAAGAGAAGCCGGGAGCCGGGCCTGTCAATCTGCCTGTTTGTCAGTTTCGGGGAGCCTGGCATTTCCCAAAGTGGTAGGCAGCTGTTCGGCTGCCCACTCCAAACTGCTCCTGAGTCAGAGGGAAAAGGATGCGGGATTTCAGTCGGTGGCCAGGAACGGCCTGAGGACTCGGGAGCCAGCGGGACCACCTGGGGTCTTGGCTGTGAGGAGAAGCCCCAGCCCAGCAGCTCTGGACTCGCTCAGGGCCGCCCCTCTCCCGCCACTGTCCTCTGCAGAGCCCAGGCCCTGGGAACACGACGACGGGATCACACAACCTGGCCCCGCTTCCTGCCGCAGAAAAGCGAGCAGATGCTGGCACAGAGGGAGTCGTGGGGAAGCGTTTAGGAAGGGAGGGATGGCAATTAGATGAAGAAAAGGTACCACACTGACCTCTCCGCGTTCTTGACTCGGCTGGACGTGTTCCCTAAATGGAAAGGGAAAATAGGTTAAGGATGTGAGGGAGCCAGGGGGGTCGAGGAAGCGGGCCGGTGAGCTGTGCCGCTGTGAGTCTGCCCCACTTTGCTTCCCGGTGGCAGCCGCCCCCGAGCTAGATCTGACCTGAGCACAGAGGCTCCCTCCGCCTCCCCAGGGACGCGGCGAGGGGTGAGCATTGTGTGTGAGTCTCACTCAGGCTGACTGTGGAGGGCGTGCAGGCTGGAGCGGCGGCCAGAGCCGCAGAGCCCCAGGGGCCCGGGAGGGTGGAAAGTGGAGCTGCGCCGCCTGTGATGTGAGGAGCACGCACCACCTGCTCGGAGGTGGCACCCGTGGGTGGGGGCAGCTCGCAGGCCTGAAACAGCGGGTGCTCTCCGAAGGGGCAGCTAGTCAATACGAGGCTGTCAGGGCACAAGGCCGTTCCAGGTCAGGGTGCGGGACAGCAGGGAGGGCAGCGCCTTTTGCTTCCCTGTGCCCTACCTCACGGACCCTGACTGTTGGTCAAAACCAACATGTAGGCCAAGGTCAAACAAAGCTGGTATTAAAAAGTAAATGGAAAGAAGACCTGAGCAGAGGTGGGGATGGGGCAAGATGAAGGAGCCGGTGAACCACGACTCCCAGATCCTCCCCCAGGCCATGCTCCGGGGCAAAGACCCCCCAAAAGACGCCCCCGACATCCCTGAGCATATCGGGCACTGTACCCAGAACCCACTCCAGAAGACCCCCAAGTATCTAAAGAAGAGATCATCAAGTGAACCAAGTCAAGCAATGATACTGCGCATGTGCACGAAAGGGGGAATTTTCACACTCTGCTGTGAGTGCGTGCAGTCCTGGAAGGCTGCCTGAGGAAGCGCTCCCTCTGCTCTTCTCAGGGAGGGAGCTCGGCGGCTGGGGAACAGAGGCTGGAGAGGAGGGACTGTCACTGTGCACCTTTCCTAATTGTGACAGTGCAAACCTATTTAGCAGCAGCAGCAAAGCCCCCTGCACCCCAGGGTGTAGGGTGAGGGGTACTCAGGCCCAGTGCACCGTCAGGCGGTTTGCTGCCACTCCGCGTCCCGCTCCTGTGCGGACCCGCAGGGCTCGGCCCTTCCTCGGACGAGAAAGCACTGTGGCGAGAGCACCGTGGCTTTAAATCAGCACGGGCTCCTCTCCAGGCGACACGCGCAGTGCTAACTAACTCCAGCAACGGAAGGAAAAGCCAGACCAGAATCTGGAATACGGCAGCTATTTCAAACCCCGCCCCCCCACCGCAGGCCCCACCTCTCGCTCTGCACGCTCATTCCCGGGCCAAGAGACGTCCCAGGACGGCAGCCTGGCCAGCAGGCCACAGACATGTACGTTTCATCCAGGCCAGGACTGTCCACGGCCCGCGTGGCAGTGCGTGCCTCAGCGCACCTCGGAGATGGCAGGTGGCGCCGGGAAGGGTGGGCAGGCCATGCACGCCAGGGACGAGCTTGCTGAGAGGCTGCGCTCCTCTTACTTGTTCCAGGCCGGCCCGGAACAGGAGGCTTGGGCGGCGCACAGATTTACTGACGTTGCCACAGACTTCACAGTCTGCAAACCGCCCGCTTCCCTTCGGTTCGGCGGGACGACCTACCTCGGGCTTCTCTGGCCCTCGTGTCTTCAGCCGCAAGACATCCAAAGAGAGCTGCTGCACGCACATCATCATTTCTGCGGAGAAACCGGAGGGCTGGGGCTCAAGGCTCCCGCTCCTCACTTCCCGGGCGCAGCCCTCTCCCGGGGCTGGGGCACTAAGGGTCTCGCCAGGCACGGCACGTTGGATCACACCAACCTTGCCTGCCACCTTCTGGCTGTGCGTCACCTCTGCACCTACTGATGACCGAATAAACGGCAGGGTCCTGCATCCCTGGAAAAGGGCCTGAGCTGGCTTCCTGCTCTTTGGTGGCACTGAACACGACTCCTGAGCACAAATTGGCTTTGGCTCACGAAGGGCTTGCATGCCCTTCTGAGGAGGTGCTTCTGTGGGGGCGACCGGGCCACCCGAGTTACTCAGATGCACCCTTGGCGGGGAAGCCCAGCGGGGGCCGTACATGCGGCGGCTTCTCTAACACGCAGGAGGGAGGGGAATTGGATCGAGTCAGAAATAGCCGACTTTCTGGTGACGATGGAACCCCCGCCTCCCCGACGAGGACCTTCCCACGCACCGTTCTCTGTCCCCCCTGGCAGGTCCGAGCCCGGATCTGGACCCGCCACCCTCCAGGATCAGAGAAAACCCAACGGGAAGCGGAGCTAGGTATGGGGGCCGTTCACTGGCGGCCTATCCGGGGCAGCTGTCCCAGTGTAAATTTATCACAGCCTGCAAAAAGGTGGCAATCGTGTGAGGCAGCCTTATAGAAAAGAATTCACATGGAGTTTGGTTGGGCCCAACTAGGCTGGAATGTGGGTCACGCTCCTCGCTCCCGGGGAGACTGGACAATTTACTTAATCCCTCTGAGGCGCAGTCTGCTCACTGTACGACAGGCAGAGGACCGCAGTGGGAATCACCCGAGGTAAGTCCCAGAACACAGTGAATGCCCGATACGTGGTCATGGATGTGAGGGGAATTTCCTAACTTACACAACGAGATCATCACGCTAGCCTGAGGAGCGCGGCTGCGCATGCGTTAGACAGGACTGCGCCTTCCGGCACATGCGCTCTGCTGCCCTGGCTGCTGGTCTGCACCCCTCCCACCTTCGGGGGGTCTGCACGGCCACCGCGTGCGCCCGCCCCCAGCCAGCTCCCGCAACTACGGCCCCTCTAAAAGGGCGCGTTCCTGGTCAGGCACCAGCTCTCCCTCCCCTGGCCCCGGGGGCCCCGGGCAGAAACGGTACCGTCCACACGCAGGATCCTCACTCCCCAGGAGCGGGCGTTGGTCAGGACGCTGCTGCTGCTCCCCTGGAAAGAAGCAGCAGAGCCGGGGCGGGAAGGGGGGGGGGCGGAGCGTGAGGCGCCACAAGGCCCGAACACCCAGCGGACAGGCTGTCCTGGCTTCTGGGAGTTCTGGGGCACCCACACGGAGGTGTGTCTCGGGGAGGGTCTACCCCAACCCTCGGGGAGACCCTGTGCTCCACGTGGGCTGGCCACATCCGGAGGGGACGGACTGCTGGTCTACCGGTACCCTGTGTCCTGGCCGCCGTGTGCCCGGGAAGGAGCACCTGCTCGTACGAGAGCTGCCTGCCGGGAGGGCCTCCGGGAGGAAGGCTCTGAGCACGCCGCGCGTGCTGAACACCAGTGACGGTCACTGTCACCCGGCAGGAAGCCACGCCGCCGCGGACTGCTCCCGCCCCGCGGGCACCCGCCTCCCTCGTCACGGCCAATGCGCCTGTCTTGAGGCCACTTTATTTATTTTTTTAGTTTTTATTTGTAAAGATTTTATTTTTAGAGACAGGGGAAGGGAAGGAGAAAGAGAGGGAGAGAAACATCCATGTGTGGTTGCTCTCACCCCAGTTGGGGGCCAGGTCTGCAACCCAGACATGTGCCCTGAGTGGGAATTGAACCGGCGACCCTTTGGTTTGCAGGCCCACACTCAATCCACTGAGCCACACCAGCCAGGGCTCAATGCCACTTTAATGGGTCCTCTCACGGGATCACCTCAGTTCCTCCTCCTGCCGTTGAACCTGAATGTTCCGGGTTCTCACACAGGGGATGAACGGCTACCTTTAAAAGACTCACAGAGTCTGGCTTTGGGCAGAGCGGACGTGTCCCACGGCATCCCCCCAGGATCCCTCGGGAGACTCTGGGGAGGAGACCTCAGGGAGTCCAGTCCTCGCCCTACCACTGATGCCCTGGGTGACTCTGGACAAGTGACTGAACTTCCGAAGCCCATTCCCCATTCATGAGACGGAAATGATGGTACACCTCACAGGCTGTGTGTTATGTCAGTGCAGCCGGCCCTGAACAACACGGGGAGTCGGGGTGCCAGCCCCTGCGCAGCTGAAAATCCACATGTGACTTCTGGCTCTCCAAAAACTTGGTGTTCCTTGGTACCCATGAGGGAGCTTCTCCAGGACCTCCTGCAGATACCAGCATCCGCAGACGCTCACGTCCCTATATGAGGTGGCACAGATCAGCCCTGGCCGGCGTGGCTCTGTGGACTGAGCGCCAGCCTGCAGGCCGGAAGGTCGCCGGCTCGATTCCCAGTCAGGGCACATGCCCGCGTTGTGGGCCAGGTCCCCGGTGCAGGACGTGCGAGAGGCAGCCGATGGCTGTTTCTCCCGCACACTGATGTTTCTCACTCTTATCCTCCCTCCTCTTCCCTCTCTCTAAGAATAAATAAATAAAACCTTTTAAAAAATTAAAACAAAAAAAAAGATGGCATAGATCAATGAATATAGCCAGCTCTCCACATCCATGGGTTCCAAACCGTGAGTCAAAAACAGGATAGGTTATTTATTGAAAAAAAGTCCACGTTGAAGTGGACCTACACAGCTCCCGGCGGTGTCTGGGGGTCCCTTGTACTTCCGAAGACCCTCAGCACCCGCAGCTCACCTGGTTTCTGATGGCCTTCTGCAGCAGCTCCTGGCCCCGGCTCATCGGCACCTGCCAGGAAGGGGGGCGCAATGAGGCCTGCCGGCAGACCACCTGTGCACGAACAGGTGTTCACAGCGGGCTGGGCCAGGATGGTGTCAGGTCTCGGGGAGCAGGGAGCAAGGACAGCCCAGGAGCGGCTGCAATGGGAGCCTACAGAGCCCTTCGGAGGTAAAGGTGAAGCCACACCCAAGTTCACGTCACCCACAGGACACTGCGGCCTGCGCCCTGGTGGAGAAGGGCATTCTGAATTCACCAGAGGTCAAGGGTTACAGATGTTCTAAGACCTCCCTTTGTGAGTCTCTGCACCCCCCAGCAGGTACGTCTAGGCCAATGTCAACGAGCCCTGTCTGGTTTACACAGGACCTTCCTGCTGTTTCTGCACCTCTGACTCTGCAGGCCCACACAGAGGGACAAAGCATCATGAAAGGAACTGCGTGGGGAAAGCACGCCGTGAGATGAACCAGGAGCTGGGAAAAAATACTTCCAGCCCCTGAACTCCGACGAGAAATTAAACCAGATGAAACTAAAACCAGAGCTGCCTCGAAGGGCTGCTTGAAGCTCACTTTCTTGGTGCAGGGAAGACACCCTTCCTGCCCCATGGGATTCTCACCGAGTCCGCGGGTTTCCGTGGAGGCCCGGGGTAGCTGGCCGGCGGACCGGCCCTGGACGGCGCGTCCCCGGCGACCTCACCGGGGCTGGAGCAGCCTCTGCGCCTCGTCCCACAGCTTTCCGCCTTCGCCTCCCGGCGGCCGGACACGATGTAACTCACTTCTTTGCTCAGAAAGCCCTCAATTACCTGAAACCAGACCACAGGGGTGGCTGAGCAGCAAAAGGCAGATGAAGAATCATCGATACCAAGAGGCTGGAGAAGGAAATCTCAGCTGCCAGAAGTTCCAGAATCGATGTCTTTAAATAGACCAAATGCAGTTCTGCACTGGGCCCCCAAGCAGACATCACCCTGAAACATAATAGGGTTTATATATATATATGTGGACGCAGGGTCTTGTCTCCAGGGCTGCCGCTCCAACCCAGCAGGAGGCCACAGGCTCTGATTTATCTGACCAGCTTGAGTCTGCGCGGAGCGACAGTGCCAAGACACTGAAGGGACCGGAGAGGGTGAAAGGGCAGCTGAGCGAAGCCACAATTTTTCTGGGAAGATACACTGAGATGTCCAGACCCTGCATCTGCGACCCTGGCTACACTATTACAAGGCGCCTAAACTATGAAACCAAAGAGGGTCTTGGCGACGACTCAGCCGCAGAGCTATCTGCTCCCTTGCCTGCATGCCCCTCACGGGCACTGAGAGGGTCTGGCTCCCCTCTGTGTCCCACGCGCCCGGCACAGTGCCCGAGGAACAGTGGCCCTCAACGCACGTTTGTGGGAAGAAGAAAAGACGGAAACAAGCGGTGGTGAGCCGGCAACCGTTTAATGACGGACTCTCTGGGGTTGGGGGCGGAATCCCTGCTGTGTGGCATTTGCTCGCGTCTGTGGGGTAAATATTCCCATGACGGCTGATTTCAAGCCACCAGCATGACGTCACCGAACGTGGACTTGGACAGAGATGCTAACAGTTGGCTCCTGTGAGCCGGTCCTACCTAGCCCGAGCACACCACCGGAAATAAGGATGCACGACATCTCTCATGTGTGACTAGGTGAGGCACCTGGCACTGAAGTATATGTCCCCAAAAGAGTGAAAAACAGGGACTTAAACAGACACTTGTGCACCAACGCTCACCGCACGCAGCATTACTCACCACAGCCAAAACGTGGACACCCCCCGAGTGTCCACCAGCAGAAAAACAGGTAAGCAAAACGTGGTATGTCTGTGTAATGGGATACAATTTGGCCACGAAAACAAAGTTTTACTGCGTGCTGCGACGTGGACGAATCTTACAAACTCGCTCAGTGAAAGGAGCTGCAAACCCAAGGACAATGACAGTGACCCCCACGGCTCTGCAGCGTCCGGAGTCGGCCGGCTCACAGAGACACAGGGACTGCAGGGCAGGGCCGTGGGCCGTGATCGCTCGATGGCGATGGAGTTTCTGTTTGGGGGGACAAAAGTCCTGGAAACAGAAACGTGTTTATGGCCACCCCACAGTGTGAATGGAATTAATGCCAGTGACCTGCACGCTTAACGATGGTTCAAACGGCCTATTTTACGCTACATACATTTTGTTACAATTTAAAAGAAATCTTTAAAGTTGTGGCTTAAAGGAGAACCTCTGTCTACCTTCTGTAATGTGGCGAAAGCAGACGCTAGAGACCGTGGGAGTGGGGCGGGGACGGTCCTCTGTGAATCTGGTAAGTGGTCTCACGGCTGCATGCCCCCCCATCCCAGCACACCTACTCATCGGCAATGTCTTTGCTGTTCCTTCTGTGAGGAGGTGGAGACCTAATCTTCCATCCCCTTGAACGGAGTTCTGTTTGTGCAACAGGATGGCGAAAATAATGTGTGTGAGTCCTAGAGCCTAGGCCCCAAGAGGCCCTGTGGCTTCTCCTTTCGCCTCTGGGAAGCCGCCCTGAGACCACGGGGCACACGGTGACAGTGCACACACAGACCCTGTGCGTTCAGGAGCTTCGCACAGAACGAACGAGATCCCCCAGATTTGAGAGCAAGGTCAGCTTGGTCCTCCCGGCCCAGAGGACCCTCCAGCAGAACGCAGCCGTGAGGGAAGCCCCCCAGCCAATCCAGAGAATCATGAGAAACAGCTCGACTTAAGTCCAAATTCTGTGGTGGATTTTTATACAGCGAAGGCTAAAGGACAGAAAAAACTAAAAGTTCCAATGCATCTTGGGGCCAGTTTGGGTGTCAGGCTGCTATTCTGCCGGTCCCCACGGCTGGGTCTCTGCACCCCAGGGTTCTTGTTCGTCTGACTGCAAGGGGCTTCTGCACCCTGAGCCGCCTCAAGCGGCTTCCCAGGGACCCCCCTCCTCCGGGCTGGGCACTAGCGTCCTATTTCCTGACCACAAGAGATGCCCAGGCCAACCCTCACTAGAAGTGCGGGTTGACACACACCACTTTAAAAATATTTTCAAGGACTCAAACACGGCGAATGCTTTACCGGGACTGACTGACTGACATGGGTCTGAGTTGCTTTCTGCGGGGGGTAACAAAAATGTTCTAACATTAGCCCTGGCTGGTGTAGCTCAGTGGATTGAGCACGGGCTGGGAACCAAAGTGTTCCAGGTTCGATTCCCAGCCAGGGTACATGCCTGGGTTGCAGGCCATAACCCCCAGCAACCGCACATTGAAGTTTCTCTGTCTCTCTCTCTCTCTCTATCTCCCTCCCTTCCCTCTCTAAAAATAAATAAATAAAATCTTAAAAAAAAAATGTTCTAACATTGACTGTGTAATCACACTTGGACATCTCTGTGAATATACTCAAAATCACTGAACTGTTCACTTTATTTTATTTTAAACTTTTATTTATTGACTTTAGAGACAGAGGAGAAGAGAGAGAAACATTGATTTGCTGTTCCACCCACCGATGCATTCATCGGGTGATTCTTGCGTGTGCCCTGATAGGGATTGAACCTGAAACCGTGGCGTATCAGGATGACTCTCTAACCAACTGAGCCACCCAGCTAGTGCCAGATTGTTCATTTTAAATGTGTGAATTGTATCTCAACAAAGCTGTGAAAGAAAACAGCCCTGGCTGGTGTGACTCAGCGGATTGAGTGCCGTGCCAGCCTGTGAACCAAGGGGTCTCTGGTTCAATTCCCAGTCAGGGCACATGCCTGGGTTGTAGGCCAGGTCCTCAGTAGGGGGCGTACAAGAGGCATCCACACATTGATGTCTCTCTCTCTTTTCTCCCTCTCTTCCCCTCTCTCTAAAAATAAATAAATAACCCTGGCTGGTGTAGCTCAGCGGACTGAGCGCGGGCTGAGAACCAAACGGTCACAGTTTCGATTCCCAGTCAGGGCACATGGCTGGGTTGCAGGCCAGATCCCCAGTAGGGGGCGCACAAGAGGCAACCGCACACTGATGTTTCTCTTCCTCTCTCCCTCCCTTCCCCTCTCTAAATACAAATAAATAAAACCTTAAAAAAAGTAAAAATAAATAAAATATTCAGAAAAAGAAAACAAAAAGAAAGAAGAGAGAAGAGTCCAGACAAAAATAAATACATCAAAATGACGGTTGTCACTTGCAGCAGTTCCATGTTCTCCAAAATTTCTAGAATAAAGAGAGATTATTTTTCTAATTAGGAAAAAAAAATTCACTGTTTTAAAATATGGTTCACACTCGAAATTGCTTTGGAAAAGGGCAGCGGTACCACTGACGACACCTGGAGGACACGGATGTGATCCCTGTCCGGCTCCTGCCCTACAACCCTCGAGGGCGCGTGGTGTCGCAGGAGAGACGCGGGTCACGTACCCCGCCCAGCTGCTGGATGGCCCCCGTCAGAAACTGCAGGTTCTTGCCAGCGGGCAGATCCAAGTAAAAGGACTTTCCGGAAAAGGGCTGCCGCCTCCCAGCGTCTAGTGAGCTCTTCCGGCATGTTCCCAGACAACTGGACGCTCTTAGCCGCCGCGCCCCTGGAAGACAACAACAAAGAGGAACGAAGTGAGGAGTCTGCGGGAAGAGAGCGGCCTGTAAGTCCGGCCGCCTTCACCCACGGCCTCTGCGTGGTCCGCCTGGACGGGCCCTGGGCGTACAAACAGGAATTCGAGACCAGTGTTCCTGCCTTGGGGTGGTTTTCCTCTTCTCTCCACCCCCCAGTCCCTAAACTCAATGGAGGGGCATAAGTTAGGGCCTGAGCGTCTGTGTCTTCCTTCCAGGAGCACATACAGTATCCATCAGAGCAGCTAATAGTCTCAAGGGAACGTTAGCTTAGAAGAAAATATGCACTTGAAGAAAGCAAGATGCTTTCTCTCATAGAGGTTATTTATCTGCCATAAATAAGGGACTGGACAGAAAGAATAATTTTAAAGCATAACAAACATCCTCAAAAAGACAAGGAAGGATACTGGAAACATAAAAATAGGAGTAGTGGGTCAAGAAAAGGATGGAGAACTCTTGCATGAATCTAGAGGAAAGATAAACCAGAAAACGATCCATCCGACCGAGGAGACATTACTGTGCATCGTAGCCTGGGCTCTGGAGAAGGCAAGTCTTCCCGCAAACGTGGAACCACAGGCCTCCCGGGAGTCTGGAGTTCACATTCACGCCACTTATGTGGTCCGAGAACCCACTGCTGCCGCCACGGAACAGAAATCAATGCGGAAAGTAACCCCAGCTAGTCGCACTCAGCACACCTCAGAGAATCAAAGGCAAAACTGCTCCAGAGACAGACAGCCCCAACCACGGGCCCCAGCATTTCCTCTGATAAAGCATCGTCAAATATTAGCTCCCACGCCCACGCCACAAGACGCAGGGAGGAAACAAACCGCCGTGGGTGAGAGTCGGCGGAAGGAAGAGATGGCAGAACGAGACCCCTGAGAACTCCAAAATGGATGACCAGATAGAGACGCCAAGGATTGAAATTAGTGAATACTTCCATTTTATTAGAATAAATTATTATTTTTTAAAGATTTATTTATTTTTATTTTTAGGGAGAGGGGAAGGGGAGGGAGAAAGATAGGGAGAGACACATCAATGTGTGGGAGAAACATCGATGTGTGCGTGCCTCTCGCACACCCCCCACTGGGGGACCTGGCCCGCAACCCAGACATGTGCCCTGACCGGGAACCGAACTGGTGGCCTTTCAGTTCACAGGCCAAAGGTCTGCAGGCTGACCCTCAATCCACTGAGCCACACCAGCCAGGGCTAAAATAAATTATTTAAAATGCAAGAAAAGAAATGTCAACTTAGAATTTTAGACTTGACTAAGGGATTATTCAAGATTGAGGGTAAAATAAAGACATTTTTAAAGCAAACAATAGCCCAGACAATTCATCGCCAACCAATTACTACTGAAGGACTCCGAAGAGGCGCACACTGGAAAGAAGGAAACTTAGCCCAGAGGAGGGACTGAAATGCTAAAACAAATTGGTAAAAAGTGTGTATAAATATAAATAATCATTGACTGTATAAAACAATAATAATGATGACTAATTTGGAAGCAAAAATGATAGAAAATAATATAACAATAGGAGCACTAATATTGCTAACATTATTGTTAATAATATTGTTGCTAGAGAGCAGTCATGCCCAATGGGGGGGTGGGGTGATTCCCACAGAGCAGTCTGGCCCTGCGATGTTTTGGGGTGGGGGTGAGGGAGGCTAGAAATGTTTACAATGTCAGACTTTGCACAGTGCACTGGAAGCTCAAAGAAGATGGAACAGGTCTTCAAAGCCAAGGAAAACCATTTCCACAATTAAAAATTTTACATTTAATTAAATTACATGTTAATGATACTATATTAACATTTTGTATACTTTGAATATAATGTATTTGATCTTATAATCCTTTCGATTAGTGCTAATAAAATGAGTCACAAATAGGACATTGTGTGAAGGAACTACTGTTATTTTTCAAAGTATTAAGGGAAAAACACTTTGACTCAAGAATCTTAATAAGCCTCAGAAAGTTTGTCACATAAAGCTCCCTTTTGAAAACACTCGTGGAGAAAGTTCTCCAGAAACAAGAGCGATGTATCAGAAGAAAGCATCAAGACACAGGCAAGAAGAGTGATTAACTCGCAAAGTGTTTTACTCTCTGAAAGGCAACAACCAAATACCGTGTCTGGGGCATTTCAGGACTAAATCTAGAAGATACTAGAAGTCAGGGGAGGACAGTGCTGAGGGAAGTAACTAGGTGCCAAAATGCTAATATAATTGGGTGGGGGGGTGCCGATCCATAAACTTAATATTTATAATAAATATAACCTTGAGCATAAGGTTAATATGGTTACACAGCCCCGACTTCCCATCTGTTTGCCAATCTTATTCGTAATATCATACTGAAAGCTCTTGTTCGAACCTCTACCGCGAATTCCTAAATGATCCATGACATCCATCAACACGCGCCACACTCACACACAAAACCACTAACAATCGGAAAACCCCAACAGGGCTAACATTTCTCCGCGTCTCATCCCAAGAGGCTCTGGGGCAGGGGTAGCAACTTGGACCTCCCATCCCTAGTTCTGACCCGCTACCTACCAAGGTCCGGAGCCCGGAGACCACTCTCAGCCATTGAACTCTCCAGCTCAGGGCAATCGTCGCCTGAAAAAGGACAAAACAGGTGAATCACCTTCACAAGCCTCCGACCTCCCACCATCCTCTCCCCGCCGCCTCCCAAATCCTGCACAATCCCCAACGCGGCTACCAAGTACAGCTAAGACTCAACTCCATCCCTAGCCGTACCCCATCTCGACTTCCGCGCCACCTTCCAGGCTTTGTCCTTAGTCCTTCCATCCCCTTCAGATCTCTGTCCCCTCGACTCCTGTGACTCCTCCTGGTCCCTCTACCGTCCCCAGCTTCTGCATCTATTCGCTCCCCGATACCTGTGTCCACTTCCCGACCCCGTTATCCTCTCTTAAACTCTTAGACCCCTCTCTGCTTTCCTTCTTACCCCTTCTCCCCTTCCCGGCATCCGTACCCTTTTCCCTGCTCCCTCAGATCCTAGCCTCTTTCTTGGTCTCCGTAGTCCTTCCTCAAGGCCGCCGTATCGCATCCGCGGACTCCATGAGCTCCTTCGGAATCCCGAGCCCTAGCAGCTGCTCTGTAACTAGAGACTCACTTTCTAAACGCTCTCGGCCGCGGCTTCGGTTTAAATTTCCTCTCGGCTCCGCCCCTAGAACAACAGAATAGTAGCTGCAAGATTGAACTACGGTGGCCCTAGGAGGGCAATATTACTCTGTAAATCCTTCCCAACCCCCTTCATTTTCCGCTCCGCTTTCTCTCTTGGCTGTTTATTGGTTGGAGATACTTGGTATTTCTTCCAGTGGGGCCTCTCCCTGCAGAACATTATACATCTCAGCCCTGAGACTTGGCCTTGTGACTTGCTTTGGCTGATGGAAAAAAAAAAAATGACACTATAAAAACACAAGTTTTAAAAGTCAGGATGGTTTACCGAGTTCTTTTCCCTTTTCGCACTGACTGGCAATGTCCTAGCTGGAGGCTGCCCTGCCAACCTCGGGTCCTTAGTGAAGATGACGTGGAACACAACCATGGGCAGCTCACGGTGGATCTGTAGCATGAGCGAGACACAAACCCTGTAAGCTACTTAGATTTTGGCTTCATTTGTTACTGTGTCATCATTTAGTCGAACGTTCTCGAAGTGAGGCTCAGCCTTCTCAGAAGGTTCCTTGAGGTTAAAACTATTTTTACAATGATATTATGAGTCTCCGGAGGCCCCCTGAAAAACCTTTGCACGCAGCTCCCGGCATCTGGATCTGCCTCCATTCTCTTCCAGTCTTTCAGCTTAAAGAACTCTTCCCTATTCTTCAAAAAAGCGCAAGCATCATCTCCCATCTCCAACAGGAAGCCTTTCTGGGTCCCTCACTTTCACAGCTTCCAACCTCACTCCAAGAGGCAAATTTATCCTCGTCTGCTTCTAAGTATCCTGCTGCAACCTCCAGTAGAAAAGGCTCCATTAACACATTCACCTCACTATATTGTCATTATTGGTTTAAACATGTCTGTTCCCACTGGACTGAAGAAGCTTTGAGGGCAGAGATTCTGTGATACTTCTTTTTGTTTTTTCAGTACCTAAGGGCAATGAGCTGCTGTGGATAATCAATAAATACCTAGCGAATGAAGGAGTCACGCCAACGACCTGCCAGCCTCCTCTGTAGCTCAGGGAAAGCCAACCCAAGTGCTTGGGTGACTCATTTCAGCCCAGATCCGGGTGTTTTGCAATTAGCAGAGGCTCTGGCTGCTATCCTCGAGCCCCTGCCTCTGGTGAGGTTCCCTGTTGTGCGACTCTCCCTCAGGTTCCTTATTCAGTAGGCAGGTGGACAATAAAAGCATCTCCTTATAGGGTTGTTGGAAAGGTTACAAGAGATAATGCATCAAAAACTCTTAGCAGAGTATAAACTCTTAGCACTCTTAGCACAGTGTCTGGCAAAGGATAAAGACAGCTCTCAAAGATATTCCTGTGTAATGTTGAGTGACTGAAAATACATGACTTGAGGTTGCCTGTTCACTTACTGAGCACTTACTACTGTGTGGGGGGCCGTGCGTTAAACACATCACGCTAAGTGCAGAGAAGCAATCGCAACACATGAAGTGGTCTTAACACAGATGGCAGGGAATCAGGGACAGTTTCCTGAAATTGGAGTACTGTTAGGGAAGGAGCTCAGAAAGGTGAGTGGGTACTCCAGGCACAGTCAACAGGTTCCCACTTGAAAGCTGTGTGGGCTGTGCACTGAAGGGCAGCTCAATGAGGTGGGCGGAATTGCTAGAACAGAGGTTGAGTTCCAGTCCTGTTTAGTTATTTGGCGCGTGACTTTGGCCAAGACGCTGAAGCTCTCTGAACTTTCCCAACTGTAAACAAGGTCTGCCAGGATTCTGAGAGACCACGTGACCGAGCGGACGTCAAGATGCGCTCAACTCAGCAGTTATAAAACACCTGTAAAGTCCCGTAGGTCTTCGGGGTTCTACGTCCGCCGCGCCGGGGCGTGAGTTTCCTCTCTGAGCTTGCGCAGTGGGTCCGCGGCGCGGCCCGTCAGGCACTGCGGTAGGCGCCCTAGGGGCTGGCAGGACCCTGACCCCAAGATGGCGGCGCCCAGTGAAGTGGATGCACCTTCCTCCGGCGAAGGCGATGGCGAGGGCAGCGGCTTTGGCTCGTGGCTAGATGGACGGTTGGAGGCGCTGGGAGTGGACCGAGCTGTTTATGGTGCCTACATTTTGGGTGTTCTGCAGGAGGAGGAGGAAGAAGAGAAACTGGACGCTCTGCAGGGTATTCTCTCTGCTTTCCTGGTGAGAAGCCCGAACTCATTTCTTTAGCCTCTTGCCAGTTCCTGTCAACGCTTTGTACCCCCGTTCCCCTTCTCAGCGTCCCGGAGGATTAGTGGTATCAGCTGGGAGAGGAATGATCTGAGTTCTGGGCCGTGGGGAAGGGGAACCAGAAAGGTTCGTAGGTTGCATGGAGAGGACTGGCTTTCGCTTATTCTTGGGGAAGAGGCTCTCGCGGATGCCTGTGGATGGCGCTGAAATGTCTAAATGAGAATTTTATCATAAAGGTCAAACGACCAGTTTCATTCCCATCCGTTGACAGTGTTCGGGGGGGGCGGGAATCAAGTGCTCTGGGATGTTTGTGTCCTTTAGGAGGCAGTGCCCAGACTGTCCCATGACAAAAGCCTGTCCGTTCCTATTTTGGAGGTAGAAGTCCAAAATGGGTAAGTTCGCCCTACAGGTCTTTACATGCCTGGGCAGAACTGAACCTGATACTGTGCTTTTTCCTTTATAAGTATTTAGAAATGGAGTAATCATTGTTTGTGTGTGTGTGTGTGTGTGTGTGTGTGTGTGTGTGTAGGGGGGTCGAGTAGGAGTAGAAATAAGAGATCAGAGTTTTTAAGGAGGAAGATAAACTTAGCACTTAGCCTCCTAGAGCCAGATTTGAGAATTCAGAAACGTGTACTTTAATCTTTGTTTAAGTAGTAAGTCACCAAATTGTCCCCTTTTCCTGCTCCTTTTTGCTGCCCTCATTTCCACTAATAGTTACGTGGTGGAAGGGTAGTTTATCCATTGGGCACATGGTTGAAATGTAACACTAGTGCAGCTGTCGCAGGACCTCCTGGCAAGGGTCCCCACAGCAGGCTCTGGTGAGATTGACCTATATTTGGGAAAGCCTTACCACAGCTTGTGATGCAGCTCGTAAGTTCAGTGGAAACAACCCAGTGGAACAATTTTTTTTCCCTTGGACCCTGACATTGTAGGATATAAAGAGTAGGGGGCCAGAAATTTAAGTTAGTTTTTGTTTTCAGCTGGGAAGTTTCTAAAGACTCTGAAAAAGAAGTTGAAGTACCTTAGGTCCCCAGTGGTACCAACTCCTTGACCTGTTTTCTTCATGGTGTTGTCATTTGGAACCCTATGTCTTGCTAAACACAGGCACGAATTCGAGTTAGACTGTTAACAGTCTCTTGGCATGAAAGTGATAAACCTTAGTAGATGGACTGAGTCGAGTGTATTGGCCAAGATTTCCCAGAGGAGAAGGGTTTTTGACTTTGGCAACAGGTTTTTGCTCCAAAAAAATGAGGAAAATGGCTCTGAGGTGGCGGGAACCCTTTCCCCTGGATCTTGGCAGGATGGAGTAGGTGCCCTTGACCTAGCAGGTGTGGGTCCTGGGGCTCACACACAGGATTACTTCAGTGTCCAGAGCCTCAGAAGAGAAACATACGCTCTGTCCCGTGGCTCCCAACCCTCCTTGTGGTTTCTTCTCATCGCTGCCTGCGCCCGCCGCATAGGCTTTGTGCACGTTCAGGGTTCTCCAGGAAAGGAAGTAATTGGTCTACTTTCCCAACCAGGAAGAAGATTCCCTTCTTAACATCTGCAAGGAGATTGTGGAACGATGGTCAGAAACTCAGAATGTGGTCACCAAAGTGAAACGAGAAGGTACAGTTGGAGTTCTGACGTCGAACCTCCGTTGCCTTTTCCAGTAACCTTTCCTGTGTAGCTGTCGGGGAGTTTTTTGTTTTCGTTGTCGAATGTTCATTTTCCCTAAAACGATTTAAGCTGGCAGACACCCAGCAGCTTTAACTTTTTAACTCAATGTTGATTTCCCTTTTCCTTTTGACTCTTTCACTTCAGCTGACCACAGTTATCTCCATTGTGGGTTTTGCTTTTTTCTTTTTCGTCCACTTTCCACTGCCCTTTGTAGACTTGTATTGCAGGTTTAGGGTTAACTGTCCTTTCTCACCTTCTGCTTTTTTTATACTCTCATTTCATAACACAAATTATGATTGGTTTTTTGCTTTGGTCAGCTAAACCCTTCACCCTTTAAAAGGAAAGAGAAGTAAGTGAATATACTCACCATTAGGATGCAGAAAACTCAACTCACTAAAGCCAGACTTAAAATAGAGTCTATTTTAGCATCATTTGATTTGCTTTTAACAATGCTAGTACCTGGGCCAGATCATGGGCCAGTTATATAAACATCTTTGGGGTGGAGGCCCAGGTATTGGTGAGATCCAGGTGACTCGGTTGGTTGGAACATCATCCCATATAGGAAAAGGTTGCGGGTTCGATCCCTGGTCAGGGTGCATTCAGGAGGTGGCTGATCAATGTTTTTCTCTCTCTTTCTGTCCTTTCCTCTCTCTTTAAAGTCAATAAACATATCCTCGACAAAAATTGAAAAAGAAAAAAAAACCCTACCCCAGATGATTCTAATATGTAGCCAGGCATGAGAACCACTACTTGACACTATTGCCTTTTTCTTTGAGAATGGAGAACTAAATAGCTGGTTTTATTTTAAAATAATCTAAGAATTTTGCCCTGGCTGGTGTGGCTCAGTGCATTGAGCGCTGGCCCATGAACCAAAGAGTTGCCAGTTCCATTCCCGGTCAGGGCACGTGCCTGGGTTGCGGGCCAAGTCCCCGGTGGGGGGTTATTGAGAGGCAACCACACATTGATGTTCCTCTCCCTGTCTTTCTCCTCCCCTTCCCCTTTCTATTATTTTTAGATTTTATTTATTTATTTTTAGAGAGGGAAGGGAGGGAGAAAGAGAGAAGCATCAATGTGCAGTTGTGGGGGGCTGTGGCCTGCAACCCAGGCATGTGCCCTGACTGGGAATTGAACCTGCGACACTTTGGTTCGCAGCCCGAGCTCAATC